TTGTGTCGCCCATTTTTTTGATTTTTGTTCTTATGTTTGTGCATGATTTTTCTGATTGGTCGATAAATTGGATTGATTTCAATATGCTTGTTGATTGCTGATTGACCTGAGTGCCAGGCTTCTAAAAATTATCTGGTGTTTTTGGAGTTTCCTCTGTCTAAGATTTCCACATTTTTCCAATCGAATGAGTGTCCGCAGTTGTCCACGTGTATTGATATAAGTGAGGAGATATCATGCCGTTTGACTGCTAATTGATGTTCATGTAGGCGCAGGTGAAGGGGGCGTCCGCTTTTTCCGATGTAGTGTTTTTCGCAGTTGGCACAATTTATTTTGTTGATGATGTTTGATTTGTTTTCTTTTGTTATTTTATCTTTTGGTTTGCATAGGATTGTTTGTAGTGATTTTGTTCGTTTGTGTGCCACACCTATCCCGAAGGTATTCAGCAGTCTCGTTGCGGTTTCTGATATTCCTTGTATGTACGGTAGGGTGATCCTTTTGTTGATTTTTGTGCTTGACTTGGGTTCTGATGCTGTGTGCCGTTGGTGCTTTTTGATGAAGTTGATTGGGCAGCCGTTCTTTTGAAATATGTCCTTCAGGTATTTCTCTTCATTTCTTCGTGCTGCCAGTGTACTGCAGTGTGTTCTCGCCCTCTTGAACAAAGTGTGTACGCAGTTGATTTTGTGAGCTCTTGGGTTGTTGCTATTATAGTTGAGAATTTGATCTGTATGGGTCGATTTCCTATATACTTGAGTCTCCAGTTTTCCTGTGTCGGTTCTAGTGATCAATATATCCAAGTATGCTAGTTTGTTGTTTGACTCCTGTTCCATGGTGAACTTGATGTCATCGAAGACGTTGTTGATCAGATTGTAAGTGTTTTCTAGTTCATTCTTTTTGATGATGACTAAGGTGTCGTCTACATAACGAATCCAAATTTTTGGTTTGATCACTGGTAATATAGCGGCTTCTAGTCTTTGCATCACTGCCTCTGCGATCAATCCTGATATTGATGATCCCATTGATGTTCCTTTCGTTTGTTCGTAGATTTTGTTGTTGAATTGAAAATATGTTGTTAGGCATAAATTGATGAGTTCCTGTAGACTTTGAATTTGAAGCTTCGTGTATTTAGTGAGGTTTGTGTCGTTGTTGAACAGCAGGGATATAGTTTCTTCTGCTAATTTTGGTTCAATTGAGGTGAAAAGTACTGTTACGTCGAACGATATCATCAGTTCGTCGTCGTTGATTTGGATGTCCTTAATTTGGTCCAGGAATTGTGTATGGGGATTTGATGGAGTAGTTGACTGAATCTACTAAATGTCTCAGTATTCTTGAAATTTTTTTTGACAAATTGTACGTTGGTGTTCCGGGGAGTGCTACTATTGGACGTAGTGGGATGTTTGGTTTGTGTATTTTGAGTCTGCCGTAGAATCAAGAGAGTACTGGTCCGTTGGATTTCATTATCCATTGTTCTTGTTTTGTTATTTCTCCTGCTTTGACTAGCTTGTTTAAGGTCTTTGAGATTTGGTTGTCTTATTTTTTGACGGGATTCGTATCCGTCAGTTTGTATGTGCTCTTATCTTCCAGTAGTTCTTCGGCTTTTTTGACGAATTCTTCTTTGTCCATGATTACTGTGGTGCGTCATTAGTCAGCTGGTATTATGACAATATCCTTTCTATTTTTGAGTTCTTTTAAGGCCTTTTGTTCTTGTGGAGTCAGTTGGTTGTTTTCCTTCACCTGTTGAGTTAGCGGTACTATAGTTTGCCTTATTTCATGTTGTGCTTCTCCACTGATTCCGAAAGTTTTGAGTGATGACTCCAATACTGCAAAAAATTCCAGCTTTGAGGCGTCGCTTGTATTGTAATTTAATCCTTTTTGGAGTAAGTGTTCTTCCGTATTTGTTAGTGGTTGTTTTGACAAATTGACCACGCAGTTGTTTGTGTTTTCTTCCACGGGTGGTTTTGAGATCTTGATTAGTTTTTTCTTTAAGGTATTTGTGTTTTGTTCTCTGTGTCGTTTGCATGATATCTCGATGGCTGTTGTCAAGATTTCCAAGTGTTCTGATGTAAGTGTCCTTTGTAGTTTCATCTTTTGGTCCTCCTTTTGACGTGTTGGTATTTGTGGATTCTGTAGTGTGCGTTTGTTATCATTAGGTGTACCATTTTTCTTCCACTTTGCTCAGCTATTTTCCATCCTAATGGGCAGTTGATTGAAGGTCTTTATCTTACACTTGTGGGTAGAACATGCTGGCGAAGACACTCATGGAGAAAATATAGTTGTTCTCGAGTGGAAGCCTGCCTTTTGGCGAAATTCTTCCATTTTCGAACAACGAGAAGCGTATTACGCCCATATGCTTTTGAGATGATGGAGAAGATTTGTAGCTCAGGTGGATGATTTTGGTGGAGTTTTGTTCTCTGAGCTGGATGGTTTGGTCGTGAACACCAATTAGCAGTCAAACGGCATGATATCTCCTCACTTATATCAATACACGTGGACAACTGCGGACACTCATTCGATTGGAAAAATGTGGAAATCTTAGACAGAGGAAACTCCAAAAACACCAGATAATTTTTAGAAGCCTGGCACTCAGGTCAATCAGCAATCAACAAGCATATTGAAATCAATCCAATTTATCGACCAATCAGAAAAATCATGCACAAACATAAGAACAAAAATCAAAAAAATGGGCGACACAACCAAAACAAAGAAGTAAACAATGAAAAATTTAAGGTTAATAAGAACCAATCAATGTCGAGGTGCACAGAACAAGCTTTGAAACACATATGGAGAAATTCAAACACTTCACTTCTATTTGAAGTTTGTGCTGATGATGTCGTTCAGAAGAACGATGAAAGCTCCGCGACCAAACGATCCAGCTCAGAGAACAAATCTCCACCGAAAAAAGAGAAATATATGTTGTATAATGTACCAAACCACTGATCGCGTTTACCTCACGATGTATCAACCAAAACAACCAATCTCATGTCTTGGCCCACGCATCCATAACTCTCTTTCAACCTGCTTCTAACTCTTTCAACAACACTTAGATGAACTCTTGAACAGACTGGCTGCATTAAATCCACCGGACAGCAAATCAGCACACACAAAAATTCCAATAGATGTCACTTCGTCAATGACGGAGCCTGGTGGGATAATTTTTCAATTAATCAACTCAAAGTTGTTTAAATATCACTGCCAAACTATATCTGAGTGAACACTTTCATAATCGATTACAGGCTTCTCCAGTTCCTAAGATATACTCTTGACTGTTTTATGGTTACCCTAAGCTCTAATAGCTCTTTCAGGTTTTGACTCTTCTATGCCAGGTATGAAGCATGTTTATAGGGAAAAATACATGAGCATGAAAAATCTGTTTGTCAGTAGATCATAAACTGGTTATACACCGGAAAAAAGGGTATATGAAGGTAATATGATAAAGGTTAATGCCATAGTGTATTTGCAATTATTGATGTTACTTAAAAGCGAAATCTAGGCAACACAAAATTAAACTCAGATTATAAATGAACAACAAATATATATTCACATATAAAGCATTCAATTCACCAATCAATGCATAGATATATAGTTATAATAATAGTAATTATAATTATCAATTTTTAAAGCTGTTTTCGTTGCACAAATGACATCAGCCAAAGAAAAATTGAAAATCACTGATTACCATACAAGACACCAGCAAAGTATTCATGAATTTTCAGTGATCTTCCGCCTGATATTAGTTAGTGATGAAAACTAACTTTATATTGAACAGCCCTCACAGATATACCAATAAAAAAATATCTATTCGAACTTTATAGTCTTTGAAATAATGAAACCATATGATTGAAAATGATAAGTAATTTCTTCTAAAAATGTACAAGGAATTTGCTATGCTTTCAAAGTGTTGAGCATTTTGTTCTTAAACTAATTCCTTCAACTATTTCAATATTATTTCTCTCATTAATTTTATTATTGTGTCTTTCTACAGTCATTCTGAAGTAAAGACTACATTGTGTATTTTAATAAAACAAAGTTCTACATCTGCTTTTTCAAGTCCTCCTAAACAGTGCTCTATGTTTTGCACATTTTTCTCTTATTTAATCTTTTCGTTAGAAGTTACGTAAACAATTATAAGAAACAGGCTACTGATTTTAGCCTAAATCAAAATTAGTTCGAACTCTGTCCCGTTTCGAGCAAAATTGAATTAATATTGCAAGAGCTTAGAACTCATTTTATTAAAAAATTAATTTATATAATTTCTGTTTAATCCTACTTTTGTACAAAGGATAAATATTCCGTTCGTAATAATACAAATATGAAGCACTCATTGACTTGCTAAGGAATTTTCGCATACATATATACGTACATATTAATTTAAGATCCTAGTGTATAATGGTTTACTGGGTTATAAAGTATTTACAATTTCTGGTCGCTTGCATTACCGTCTGGCGGATGAGGTGAGACTTGAGCTTCTAATCTGTTGAACGCAAATTCATTCACTCATCTATTGAGCTGTGGCTTGACTATGGTTTGTCAATAATCTCCTACTGTATAAAGATTATATATATCGGATAAAATCATCATCAACATGTGCATGATATATAGTAGACAATACATGTTACGTTTTAATTTTTACACACAACAAACTAAAAAATTGCCTAAAATAAGTCATATGTATACATATATACATGTATATAAATAGATACACTGAGTAAACAAACTTTGTCCAGTTTAAATTTTATAGGCTTGTCGTATCATTAAGTCGAAATAAGCATCATTGTCAATTGATGCGCTGATACCAGTGTAATAATTGAAAAATTCTTCTCTTGTCACCTGAAATATTTAAAGTTAGCGTTTTTTTGTCTTGCCTTATCACAATTAATATAGAAGAAAGATACTTATCTTTAAAATAATAATGGTTAACAATTACGTAAATTGTGTTAAGTAAAAATGTTAAGGAAATCACAACTACCGAGAAATAGCTATTATTCTGAGTTCAACATTCGACAAAGTTGAACATATATACATTCTCAAAACGTTGTCAAGTAATGAGAAACAATTATTCATTTCTGCATTCGGATATCAAGTCAATGTTTAAAACTGTTATGTTATTTTTCCAAAATCAATTCTTTACCAAAATATGTTGATTTTTATGGTAGGTAGAATTAAAACAATGATAAATTTTACGTTGTCCCCGTATAAACTCGTTTTCTGTATAATTTTCAAATTACTACTTTAAAGAATAGATTATTTATACTGAATTATATTATATGATTCGATCAAATGTCAAAGTTGATGAGCTATTATTGTTATACATTTGTGATGACAATTATAGTATGTAATGGCACAATTTTAAAGTGTCTCAAATCTAAAAATCCGACATATACCTGCCACAAGTAATCCATTTTTATATTTGAAGCAAAATATATTTCGCCAGATAGCTTTTTGCATCATATTTCTGATCGCTATTTTGAGATAACTTAATGTTTAACTGAAACTATGCATTTTTTTACTTTAAAAATTACATCTGTAAATGTTAGATTAAAGCAACTGTAGTTTTTTTAGCATTAAGGAAAGGATTCAAAATTATAGCGATAGCGACAGATGAAATTAAAAACAGTAGTAAAATTACTGACAAGAAATATTCAGAATTTCTGTTCATGATGTGGTCAGAAAACAATATCGTAAGATTTGAAAAAAATGAGTGAATGTCAAAAATACTCATGTCCATAGAAAAATAAAATCATATGCTTAAAACTGCTTACAACTTCATCAGCATTGTTTTGTGGTTGAAATGTTTTTAAAAATTCAACTAAAATTTCATCTTCAGTTTTTTCTCCATTTATAAACTTTGGATGGTTTTTTACATTATATACGCCTTTTAAATCTTCAATCTGAAATAAGTAATTCAAGAAATCAGATGGATTGTTTGATTAACAAGACCACCGGTAGACAACTTACATAGTAGTCAATGAATGATCTCAGTAAAAATGTGATGTGTTCTTGAATATAGATGTAAAATGATTGAACCTAAAAAACTGGACCTAACTCAATGTAAAAACGTTTTGACGTTTTTAACTAGTGTTTAATAACGACCACATCTAATGTATTAAGTGACATCTAAACTTTTCCTCGAATTTGGATGCTTAAAGCTTAAAAGACTGATAATTTACAAAGTTTATTACGTCTACAAAAATGGTCCATTTACATTCACGAAACCTCTTTATGATTGCACATTGCACTCTTGAAGTTTTCTAGATTATCCAACTGCAAGAATGAAGTAAGTTAAAAGATGAATAGTTCATAATAACAGGTACTTGAGAAAATCGCTTGGTAAATCCATATTTAGAATTCCATTAGCTTGACACATCCTGGCTTTAAACCTCAAAGGAGGATTATGTTATAGAGAGAAATTGCAATAAATCAAAATCATTCGTTACTGTCCTATGATAGGACTATTTGACGTTAAATATAGACACCAAAGGAAGTAGTCATTTTCTGCTGAGGCTACCATCATTTAAATACTCAGTGCATAAAAAATATTTAACAAGAACTCAGTTTTTAAGTAATACTGGGACACAGTCAAACTAAATTATTTTAAGGAGCATTCATGATATCGTTCCTCTATGCACCTTATCACAGTAAAAAACAAAGCATTTAATAAGTGTCCAAAGTAAAGTGTCGGTTTTCCCCAACTGCTAAAACAGTATCTCATTTATATCACTTACATCTATGAACAAAATGTACATATTTTACTGGCACAACATAAACTGTCACGTCAGAATACTTGTTTTGAGATTGTTTTAAAATTGTAGTCACTTCCATGATATCAATCGCTCACATATTACTAACTGTAGCGAAAAAAAGATAAAACGTCCTAATTACGATAGAAAACTCACTGAAACTTAAAACGTATAGCTTTAAGATATGTATAAATTGTTATGCTAAACACAGTTTCCATAACCTATGATATAATATGTAGAGGCCAAATAGATCATAGGTCATGAGATTATGCTTTATTATAATGTAAGGTATTGTATTAAGTTTAGGTAATTGCAGAAAGCGAAATAAAGATGAAAGTGAACAAGTTTTCAGTTTTACTATGTTGACTTTAACAATAGTAAGTTATTCTTAATAGTTAATAACACTTTGGTAAAGATATCTAAGACTTTATTACGTTTTGTGAATAAAGGTACAAAATGGCTATCTGAACAAAGAACAAAAATTATTGGTGTGTTTTAGTGAAGATGTAATAAGTTAATAAGCTCTGTGTACTTAGCTTAAGGAGCTTCATTTGTGCTATCCCATGTTCATGTATTTACTTACATATAGGAATAATAATTTGATGTATTCTAACTGTTTAATCCAAGTAAAGGTAACAAAAACGTTTATTGAGATTACAGTTAATACATTTCGTTTAATATACTCTCTCTCTCTCGAGCATCAAGAATAATAGATTAATTTTTCGATCTGAGTTAAAATTTGTACGTGTAGAAACTCCTTTGAGCAGTGGACGCTGTAAATGCAAACTTATCATAAATAAGCAATTACCGTAAAGAGTCTGACTAAGAATGGGTTTTAACTCTAGCTTTTGAAAGCAACTGGCTAATTCCACTTCCTTTTCCAATATACTAATAGTTTTTCCTGGGTTTTATATTTCTGAACTCCCCGACATAATTTGTAAACTGAGGTGTGAATCACGGTTGAATTCGAATATGATAATAATAACCGAATTAACTATCATCAATAAATGTTATAACGATTTCAGTTTAAGTCGAATGATGTAGTGTAATTTTGTGACGTTGGGTATGAAATATTCTGATTCCACACTTAGCAACCTTACAAATGATTTATTAACTTATTCAAACCCATAATATTCACCTAGGGCTAGCATAAATGACGAGTGAAATAATTTATAAAGGAAACGTACAGTTATTGCACCATCTTTCGTCTTATCCATTTTCAGAAATGCTTTGTTCAGAACGTCAAGTCTACATTTGCTCATAGGAGGCTTACACTTTAACAAATAACCAATTCTTACTCTTAAAGACATTAGAAACTCATCAAAATCAATAAATCCACTCTGATCTGTGTCGATTTCATCAAAAATCTCTTTAATTTCATCCTTGGACAGATCCACACCGAAGTCTCTGCACCCCTTCGAAAATTCCTTGAAATCAAGCTTTTTGTTTCCGTCATCATCAATAATTCGAAATTGTCTATTGTCAAAAGAACAATAAAGGCCAACAGTATTTAGTTATTTACCTTCCTATACCAGCTATCCCGGATGCACCACGTAAAAGACACTGATATCTGAGCTTTTCAATCGGCTTAAGATCTTTTGCAAGTTGCTTTCTTGCTTTTTCTTGCAACAACTTGTCACTCCTTTCTGTTTCCATTACGGGAATCAGGACGCTAGTACAAAAGCGAGCATCGATACGAATCAGATAATTCAATTAGTTAAACAAATTTCGAGTGGTTAGACAATTTTCTGATTAACAGGTTTCAAAAAGAAACTGAAGTTAAGAAACACCATTTGAATGGAAATGTGACTTAAAAGTTTTAGTTATGATAATATCTCCAAATTTCTTGTGAAGAATGAAAAACCTAGTTACACTGAGAGATGTGAAGATGCCACAGATATTCAGTGTTTCACAATGCAGTTGTCCGTAATAAATTTTAAATGAAATTTCTCGAACCCAGCTAAACTAAAGTCAGGCATGAATTAACTCGATTATATATCTGGAAGTTGGTCGGTGCGTCGAGAATTATGAAGGGCCAGTGAAATGCATTGAGCCTCAGTCAAATCATCCGACAGTTGGTTCACTGGATATCAAACAGTTCGTCGATCCCATCTAAGTCAAGGACAACCAGGATGCATCAGTTAATCACACTCATTGGACTAACCCATGAAGTAGTGGTCATCAATCTAACTAATATATTTATGTAGTAACGTCCTTTGTGTTATACGGTCTTCAAAGCAGCAATAGAAACTTGATACGGCGAAGGGGGAAATCACGTTATGTGCAGACCTCGAAGTGTGACTCCGAAGCCAGCTATTGGTCACAGCATTTCCATCTACCCCGAGTAGGCCCCCAATCATTCGAAATAAACCATAAACCTAAGAAATGCGCAACATGGTTTGACCAAGAGTGATCTGGTGAGGATGCCTGATTACGCGTCTTTAGTTAGTATGTGTCCAGTAATAAATCTCGGTTTGCCGTGCTATTCTTCTGTTTTCCCTCATTTCCAGATATCCCCGAAATGAACAAAATGTAAATATGAGTGCAGGTAGAAATTCACTTTTGCTTGCGTAAGGAAGAGAGTCATAAAAATACTGTTAATTGTTCGATATACATACACTTGATTTCTTTTATCCAGTTATAAGACTTCACGGATTTTAAAAATTTATATTATATTCTGATTATTTCCACACATATTGTCTTATATAAAAATGGTATTATTTGGTGTTATATTACTACTAAACCTTCAAGTTTGTTATCGCAGTGACGTTTTAAATTACACTGAGCGATGTTTCACTTCATCTACCTAAAGAATAATACATTCAGAAATACACATTATTAAAAAACGGATTATATAAATTGACTCGTATATACTTGAAATATAAAAATCTACTCGAATTTACAGCTGTCACCTGTACTGGTAGTGGCTATTTGATATTTGCGCATCTAAAGATGCCACGAACACTCGAGACTAGACAACGCTTTTGTTTATAACACCCTTTCAATTGAAAGACCCAGTTTCTGCCAAACCAAAACTTAGGAAGGTGTATTTGGAGGTTTGTTGAGAAGCTTTTGGTTTAAGCTGGCTAGTCGTTGCAAGGTATGTGTGTAGTGAACGTTTAGTATCGTTTGGTCCTAACCACTCAATCTTCAAAGCTAAATGCGAGATTACTGGGAAACTGAATGTTCAACAAGTAACACGAAAAGAAGGTCAACAGTGGAGCGGGTAGAAAGCATCCATTCAATTCAATCAGATGGCATGGCTCAGCCTTGCATATGTGATCATTTTGTATAACTTGTTTTTACTCGCATTAAATATATTACTCTTTCTTTGGCTTAAATGTGTTTTTTAGAAACCCGCAGATATTATATTGCTTATTGTTACGATGCGACAAGTCAGAATAGACAATGATGAGGCTTCCACGTAAGATGTCATACATTAAGTAGTTACATGTGGTGTTTGAATGAACTAATGATTCCTTTGTACTTTTTGAGTGCTCGATTTCGAATTTCAAATACAGTACATTCTTTTATGCTTCTTGATTCACTTGCATTATTCCTGGGATTCCTGGTTCGTACTATAACTCAAATACTTCTAATTATCATATCACATCATGAGAAATCTACATATTTTGGGGTTAAGTTTACAATTATAGCAGTACTAATAACGAACAACGCCATAATTCTATGACTGAAAACTCAATTAAACGAAACCAAGTTATCGTTTAGTAGAAAATTACAGAGGGTCTTTTTAAATTGTGGAAACCGTACAATAAATGCTTCATTCGTACATCTTTCATTAGTTACACTTTACATTATTTATGATTTTTCCAATGCTCAATTTCATTCTGTCTCCTTTTCTGTTTTATTCAGTTCAATCTTACCAATCCTCTTTTCACAGGCATTCCACTTCTGATTGGCGTATTATATAATGCTTGCGTCTATCAACGTAAATAGCATACGCCAAATCGGTAACATGGCGTATCCACTCGTGGTCTGGTGCGGATGTGTGACTGAGCGCTTTCATTTAGTCGTGTCCAGTAAAACTAATGATCTCTGCATCAGTGATGAATATTTACAGTCATATTTAATTGTGAGACTTACTTGCTTCTACAGCATAATCACACCTTTTAGGGGTGTAAGATCCATTTTAAATGTTTTGTATGTAGAAATCCCTCCATGTAAACACTTGCAGTTAGTTCCTACCGATTCATATAGAAGTACATTTTGTAAGTCTTTTTCTTCCACATGAGTTGGTAATATTTGTTTTACGACTTCACTAAGTTTCTGTAGTGACTTACTTTTATCAAGAGAAAAATATTGGTGTAATCGAAACAATTATTATTATTCCAGATTTTCCATGGTAGTCTAGCTTCAATTGACTCATGATTTCAACCTGTGAAATTTCCTAAAATCTCCACAAAACTCATTCTGATAATAATCAATTAACTGCTCACTAGTGACTGAATTCAGGAGAACCTCCTGGAGTTCTGGTGAGAAGCCGTCATCAGTGGAGTTCAACCAGGTCCGTTGTGAGATATCAACTCACTGAAGACAATGTTGTTCGGTGGCGCAACTTCGTGGATTGGTTGAAGTCAGACATTTTTCAATATATAAAATCCGGACAACATCTGATATGGTAGATAAAGGTAGGTGTGGTATTAATACAATAGACTCCGATGTATGTGTGCCGAATCTTAGGCGTCTCTCATTCGCGTGACGACATAATCCACGTTCTATCTGAGAAATTCCCCCGAATAGCTAAACCACTCGAGGAGATTCCATCGGTGACAAATCGTGTGATAAACTACATAGTCACCCACGACACCCTAGTCACGACAAAACCTCGCCGACCGGCACCGGACAAATCAGCTACCGCTAAACGTGAGTTTGACAGTTTACCAGCTACTGGTATTACTCGTCCTTCTTACAGTCTCTGGGCCTCACCTTTTCACATGGTGCGCAAAAAAGATGGGGTTAGTTGGAGACCATGCGACAACCACCGAGCATTAAATGTAGTTACACTCTTTGATAACTATCCCATACACCACATAAACGACATCACGGCATCGCTCAAATGCACGATCATCCTTTCTAAGATCGATCTGGTACGAGCATACCATCAGATCTCAGTCGCTATTGAAGATATCGAGAAAACTGCAATCACTACTCCTTCTGGTCTCTTTGAGTTCCCGCGAAAGACATTTGGGTTACGGAATGCTGCTCAAACGTTTCAAAGGTTTATTGATACCATAGAACGAGACTTAGATTTTGTTCACGTCTATATTGATGACCTGTCAATCGCATCATCAAACGTACATGAACATTATCAACATCTTACACTATTATTCCAACGCCTTTCAGATAACGGAATAGTGGTCAACCCGGACAAGTGTGAGCTGGGCAAATCGGAAATAATGTTCTTACGTCACATCATTGAGCCGGAGGGTATTTTACCTTCCAAGGATAAAGTAAGTGCAATAAGGGAGTACACCATACTGTCCACACTCGAAGAACTGAAGGCATTTCTCGGTCTGGTTAACTTTTATCGACGTTTCGTCCCACACTCAACAGAACTTTTACGACCATTACTCGATATACTTTGCGGTAACCCACGCAAATTAGAATTGAACGATGCCACACGTACTGCATTTTCAGAGATGAAAATGGCTCTGGCTCAAGTCACACTCCTCGCTCATCCTGACCCATCAGCTATGCTTAGTATAGTGGTTGATGCATCGGATGTTTGCTATAGGAGCCGTTATGCAACAGAACATCTCCGGTAGTTGGCAACCTCTCGAATCTTTCTCATGACGCCATAATCCCACGGAGACAAGGTATGGCGCTTTTGGTCGAGAACTACTAACAGCCTACTGTGCCGTCAGTTATTTCCGGCACGCAGTAGTTCGCGATTTCATTTTAGTTGCCGACCATAAGCTCTTAACATGTGTTCTATATATGAAGTCTGACCGCTACTCACCACGATAATGCAGACATCTCTCAGTTCACGACAGACCTTCGTCACATTAAAGACGAGTCGAACTGTGCTGCTGATGCTCTGTCACGTATCTAAGTGAATGCAGTTACTTCACCAGTGCTCGACATTCCTGCTATGGCTGCCGCCCATGCAAACGATCCCTTTTGCACAGAAGCACCACGATCTACATCCCTTCAGTGCCAGGACGTACCCGTATCTACTATCCTTTGTGATACTTCTACCGGTCTTCCCCGACACATCGTACCCTCTGCTTACCACTGTCTCGTCTTCCATGCTCTGCATGTACTGTCTCATCCAAGTATCGCAGCTAAATTGCGCCTCATCATTGCATGAAATGTTTGGCCGCTTATAAATAAAGATGTCTATATGTGGGTATAGCAATGCATACAGTGCCAACGACCAAAAATGCACAGGCATGTAGCTGCCCTCATTGGCACGTTCGTCACGCCTGATACTCGTTTCGATCACGTTCATATAGGCATTGAAGGACCATTGCCACCATTGCATGGGTATGATTACATACTCACGTGCATCGATCGTTTTACAAGATGGCCCGAAACTATTTCCATCATGTCTAATACGGGGGAGACGGTTGCTCACCACTTCGCAGAACGATGGATAACGGTGTACGGTTTTCCCTCAACTGTAATGACTAACCGAGGACAATAATTTGAGTACGAATTATTCTCCTCACTGACCGGTTGGTATGAAACCTTACCGCTCGTCCTCTTAGGTATCAGAACGAGCTTGAAGGCAGATATTTAATGTTCCGCCACTGAACTTGTATACGACACGACACTGCGTCTGCCTAAAGAATTTTTGACACCAAGGAGCAGTAACGATTTCAGTGAATTAGACTACGTCCAACGATTGTCTGAATATATGCGAACATTGCCTCCGGTGTCAACTCGATTGCAGGCTCACGAGGTACGAACGAGACTACCGACCCACATTCCGGTCTCCGGGTACGCCTACCCGTACGCTTTCGCGACTAACCGCGCAATCAACAACGGACACGGTATTGAACTTTATCCCCATACTTTATGCATGCTACACCTTCTCTCTTTTTCTTTGATTTTTTATCCTGCGCCCACTCCTCCGACCATCGCCCGTTTGGCACCGTCGAATTCAATGTCGGCGAAGGCTGGCCCAATAACTCACGCTCTTTTCGACGCACTCAGTCGATATTCTGGTTTCGAATCTGTCTGGCATATGTTTGGTCTCACAATTGGTTGTTATGGACGCTTCTGTCTTCTTCGCTCAATGTTGCTCCGTTCAACGTCTGTAGCGTTTTCTGACCCGGACCCCTACAAACGCGATCCTCAGATCTTAGACGCAAACCACTCTGGTGTGGTAAGCTAACGCCAGCAACACCCACAGCACGTTTCTCTTGGTACCATTCTGCGTAAAAGAACTTCGGGGGCAACTCGACGATCACTTCCTGTTCAGCCGAACCTTTCGTCCTACAATCGCACGTTTACCGATCAGTCCCACGAACCCAATCACGTTGTTTTGGTTTCAACCGGGAAAGGGCGCGTGTCCAATCCACCTAGACAGTTATTCTTCAGTTCAAACCTTAGTTTGGATCTAACAGGGGATGTTGACAACCCTAAGAAAAAGACAACAATAAGTTTCGACCCTACCAGCTTTCCTTTATAAACACCCATCTGGCAGCTTACTCTGTTTGTCAGCATCCTGTAATCCTGGTAAAAGAAACAATAAAGTGTACTTTAATGTCAAAAAAGCTGGTAATTACATTGAAAAGCAATATATGCAAAGAAAGCTTGGTATTTATGCGCATACATACATATAGTGAAAAATTTCATGAATTTCGCTTGCTCTTTATGTATCCTTTTCTTTTCAATTTACTGGCTGTTGTACGTAGAATACATAAACATCACCAACCTAACAAGCATTTAGTTTTAGTATAGGGTGGTCATGTACTGATCCTAGTTAGGCAACTTATCGGAAACGTGGGAGCACTAAACAGCTGGTTCGTTCCAGTATGAAACTTGAGAGTTAGCATCCATGACCTTGCATCTGAGAAATAAACCCAAGACTTCCAGTCTTTCCCGTGACCTAGCAACATGAATCCACATATCTAGGAATGAAACCGCCATCCAGTGCTTGGCAGCTAAACTTGCATTAATGTTTCACTGTTCTTGGTTCTGTGTAATTCAGAATGTCCGTCAATCTGATTTTCAGAAGGCGAATATCTTGTACACTAATCGCGTCTCCGTAAAAATACAGGGAATCAGTTCCAATCTGACATTTTCGAATGTTTACGGTAATGCCTTACTTTTGCAGTCGTCCGAAAACAAGGTCGAGATGCTGAAGATGAGATTATCTGTACGAACATGAGATTTATCTGTCATCCATATATGCGTGTATGAAGCTGAAACCTCTAAAGACATCGATGAGTCTCTGAAAATTTTATGTGGCATTTTTAAAGTGAAGGGCATTCACAGAAAACCATAGAGCTGCGTTGGTTTGATAATGGCCATTTTAAGAATGTTGTCTGTAGTCATGAGTTGTACACTTCAATCAGATCGATTTGAGAGAACGATCGTATCTTTTAGGGAGGCTGTGTGTTCGTGAATGAGTGGTTGGTGTAACGGTAGGAAGTGAATTTCGCATTCAGTCGCCGATAATCACAATGCTCAAGGGAGATGTAAATGGGCCGTTTCGATGGCGGAATAATTTCCAAGTATATTGTGTGCTCAAATTAGATTTTGGAAAACCCATCGGTGCGCTCTCGAGAATACAGGTGATCCCATAGTCATGATGTGGTGTACAACACTACTGACTATGCGTGATAATTTTAGTCGAAATTGGCACAGTTCAGAGTACTCGTTCAGTATCTGTTGGAGGCATATATCACTTTTTATTCTTAACCGTAAATGGACACAGCCTGTTACCAGAAAATGAAGCTCCACATATAGACAAATTGGTATTTCCGTCCAGTAACCTCCGCTTACTTGGGTCAATGAGTAAATTATGTTGTTGTAGCAGGTTCGCACCAATGTTTGACATAGAAACACTTGCAAGGACGAAAATTAGGTGAACGAGTTTGCGTAAATCCACGTCAACATTAATGTCTCTTACCATACGTGGCGAACGGTTTTCCATTTGCCGCCTGTAGGTTGAAGACCGGCTCTTGCAAACGGACATTAGAATCCTGCGTCATAGTAAATGAGAAACGGAACTTTCGTCACCACATCGGTGATGTATAAGAGACGACTGTTTCCACCGGCTACAGTTGCAGTAAACGCGTCTCGGCGAGGACGTTTTTCGAAAGATTATCCACGTTAGACAGATTTAGGATTGAGAAACCGATGAATTTTCTGAAATTCATAGAAGACGTACCATACGTTTTTGCTGTACCGACATTAATCAGGGTTGCCTGCTCCTCAAGCCCGTCCAGTTTAGTTCAGAACACCAATAACATTTATACACGATAAAGCTGAAAGTGGCTTTGAACATGGGAGAAGGTAATCAATAAACTAAGTATAATTTAAGGACAGTGAATCGTACAATAAATAATCTGTAGGTAAAAACAAAGCTTATAATAAGATGGACATAAATATACACAATCTAGTAACTGAATAGTTATACAGTTAGAATATATTGGTAATATTAGTCCACTAATGGTTACTCGTAATTTAATCTTCACTAGGCGATAACACCTCCCTCTTTTTTGGAGATCCAGAGTTTAGATCCTGATTTTAAAAAGCTTGTCTGTAACTTAAATTTCACCAACGTCATATATATATCTAACATATACCACAGTTCTGGTGGTCCAGATAGTCTCCCGAATCCGGTCGGCAGATATATTCAGTTCGTTTATTTTAGAGTGAGACAAGAACCGCGTGCACTTCTTGGAGAAGCTTGGACAACAAGAGCTGTCTGAAAAGGCTCTAGGCAAAGGTTCGTCGACAAGTGGCCTCTCTCATACGTAGCGCTATTTCTGTTGCTGAGCTGTGTTGGGACTATACGTTGTAGCAGAGATCACCTAACATTTGTCGGTTGGTTCATTCCCGACGTCTAAAGATAAACTTCTTTAAAGTGTCGAAAGGTTCAGAAATCACCAATAAACATACTAGGTGTGAAGTATTAAATAAAATCGCTCGTTAGCGTCTTCACAACTGAAAGTGACCATATGAGTCTGTTGCGCCTTACCCATGAAAGTCAGCTTCTACGTAGCAGGAGACATAATATACAAATGGGAGAAAAACATTCAAAAATACAAGAACGATAATTAAAAAATATTTAAAAATGATATACTGAGTTACAACAAGGAAAGAACTAACAGTATATTGCTTTGCGTTCCAGATCACGTCGGGCTCATTACTAAAGATGCCACAAGTATTCGGATTTCGACGACTTTACAAGTATTATCTTCGTAACCAAACTATACCAACCCAGTCAAATCAGAAGTTGAAAATCAATGAGTTCGAAGATGTATTTGGAGAGCTATTGACATTTTGAGATTGTCTATTAATTGTAAGGGATACGTAACACAGCATACCCACTAGTAACCTGGTGCGGAAGCGTGATCGAGAGCCTTCAGCTATTTGTGTCCAGTATACTAACTAAGTCGGAATTAATGTCAAAGACTCACAAAGTTATATATTTTCGCTAGTCATTTGCCACTACAACCCCTTAGACCCATTCCCGCAGCCTTGAGGCCGGTCTAGTACTTAAAATGAAATCTTGAATGATCTAACACTTCTTTGCAGGAAAAAATAATTTGATTTCGTGAGGAACTAAAAATGTTTTTGCTTTATTCTGATGAATGTTACCATATTTATTCCTAAGCTTATTGGCGGTGCTTGAAAAGTAGTTTTACGAATGTATGGGTACAAGTAGTCTGTGAGTATTCCTGAGTAAACTACAATTTCCTGTTGCCATTTCGCTATAGGTACCTAAGAGTGATCTTTTTTTCATAATATTTCTATAGGGAGCCATGGAGCTTAATGGGATATATAGCCAATCATATAATGAGCAAGTGCCTAATGGGTCTCATAGTACGGGATCTGGAAGCGCAACTCAAGATCCAGGTTTGTCCCTACTTAGCAATTTTTCTGTGATTCATATTGTATTCCCACTGGTCAGTATACTAAAAGCAGTACAAAGACAAGAACTACCCAAAGGCAGACTTGTGGATGTGTTCCTCCCTTTATGCGACCTAGTTTTTTCTTCAATCAGCTTCTTGATGATAACGACTACTAAATCATCTCTTATTCCAAGTGTGTAATTCGTCCAAATAGGCATTTTGTCACTCAAAGTTTGGAAATGGCTCAAATTCAAATGCAGTCTGAATACTAACGTGTTTACATACTCTGAAGCCTATTAGTCGGAGGGATCATTAGTTTTCGGTTTAAATTCACCATGCATTTGAGACCATCAATCAGATGTTTGTAAACACGACTGAAGATGACGGGTCATTTTGTCTGAGCTACAGCTAATCTAACTTCAAAGAATGGATTGAATATATATCTCTGCGTGTCTGCTATCAAAGAAAATTTAATAGCGTAAGGAAGGTTTTAAGTTTGGATCCTTATGGAAAACAATCTACATCAGGACTGCTACCGACCTCGACTCGGTCGTTTCTAATGTATTTGTAGGGTTTCCACGACCGTATGTGGAAAGTCATGATTCGACAGTTTTTCATGTGGAACTACGATCGTTCATCACACTCCACCATGTCAGACTGACAGCCCACCTTCCTCACAGTCATTATCAAGACAAGCTTGCATACGGGAAGGCATCAAATGTCCTCTATTTAGAGTTGTAGGCCATAGGGCAGCACTACCGTCACTGCCGAGTTGTGCACCTCAGATTAGTGCAGTAACGATGATTTATACTAATAAATTGGGCCTCTACCACTCGTACATAAGCAAATTCTGTTTCGGTGGCCCAGAATCCATCGTTCATGTACAAACTTTACTTGCCGAGTGACGGGGATTTCAGCAGTTTGTTTGTCGTATTACTGTCTACTCAAAGTTGGAAAGCTTTTCCCGAGATAATGGGTATTCATCTCCATGACACACTTCCTTTAGATCTTGTCTGAAATTGTCATTTATAGTTACCTAAGAAAGATGTGCTTTTGCATCTAGTTCAGCCTATGGTTCAGAACAGTTAGTGTATGACCTTGTTATATAGGAATTGCTGTTGTAAAGAGCTTTCATTATTTCATATGGGTTTTTCAATACTTCCCTAGCACAGTTTCAGAATACCGTATTGCTTCGCAAATCAAAGACAAATGTTTATCAAGAGGTATCTAGTCTTACCCCTGAAGAGAGATAAAACTTTAGAAATTCTGTCAGAGACATCTTTGGAGCAAGGCTAGATGAATGGACACCAATAAGTTACGGACACCAATGTTGAAAATAGTTCTGAAGAAGGAACGCTGTTTATTCACTTGAGTTCCATATTGGTTTACTATCGGTTTTATTACTTCAACTTAATTTATCCTTAGATTTCAGACATACTGTCTCATGTCCGTTTGTGTATTTTTGTGATCCACTAAATTCTCTTTTGCGTGCTCCTGGGAAGTGCCACAGCTTAGTTCTGTTACTCTCAGTTTTCTGTTGCAGATTTGTTGTGTAACAGCTTAGAACCGATACAAATGTATACTGTATTGTGCATAGCTAGTACTGTCTAGTATGATTACCTTTTCTACCGCTCCATTTTACCAAAACAGAGCTCACTAGACCAAATAGCGCTGATAGCTCCCAACATTACCACGCTCCTTCAAATCAAAGTTCAAGTGCTTCACTGTCAATAGAAGAACGACTCAGGCGCGTTAGAGCATCTGAACAACTAAAACAGCAGCAACGTTACGCAGCCTACGTAGAAGCCCAACAACAAGCTGAAATGGCACGTATGCGCCAACAAGAGGAAAGAAAGCGCAGGATTGAAGAAATGCGACAGAAGGAACAAATGCGCCGACTTAGTGCACTAGAACGACGTGCAGCCTTGGAATTATCTAACCAAGTAGGCTTTTCCTAATTATTAACTTGTTAAGAATTTGTCTCAGTAGTTTTACATCTAATAAGGTATTTGGGTGGTGGGCTTTGTGTCCAAATATCTCCTGTTGTAGTTAACACTTATGAAAGAATTAGGCCTAAGAGTTAGATTGTAGTCAAAAAGCGACTAACCTACAAAATTAACTTTTTGCATTCCCCAATGGTGTCTGGTCATCCTTATTTTACTACTAGTAGTGCGTATATAAGTATATCACTTTACTAGAAATCATTTGGCAGGTGATCGTTTTCGATATCAAATCACTCAGGATTTCGAGTCAATGATTCTGTTCCAGCAGCCATCACACGGCCACATCATCTCATTGCATTTCATCTATCGATAGGCATTCCATTCTAACAGTTCGAAACCCGTTTACCATTTATTTTAAAACCCTCCGTGATGGAAACCATCAGCTGCTTTTCCTCTACCAAGGTCCACTGATATTTCTACCTACAAATAACATTTTTAAAGATATGTTACAGGTATAAGTTGTGCTAATTTCATCCCACTATCTTGATCTGGTGTGAGAACTAGCTATTACACATTTGCTTCAAACTGGCTTGATTATGACTTGCTGTATACCATGAATCCCAATTCAGAATTCGTTCTTTCGCACTTTTTACTTTATCGTTTGCCAATAAACGGATTATTTTAACAGTAATTTTCATCTCATATTTGTCATCAGTTCTTAGTATTTAGTTTTCCTCTAGTGTAAATTTGTAATGAAAATGGCATTTAAGTTGTTTTTCCCCATGATCTAATTTCATTAAACACAGGGTAGTGTGTTCGACTTAATGTTTGAGGGCTAGTGATACTATTCAAGTGCGCGAACGAATGTGAAAAAGGGTTTCCTTGATATTTTTCGTTTTCTACGTGTTACTTATATTAGTGTTAGACAGACTTCAGATAATCCTGTCACTGGACTATTTTCGATTTTACAATAACATTCATTTATGCCTTAAAAATGCTGTAGAAACTGCGTGTCGAAATTTCGATTTGTGTTGACGCTTTAAATGAGCTTCTAATAACAGTCAGTCAGTCAGTAACAACATAGAACTTTGTACGTACGTTCATCAGTTCGAGTTGCCATACAGAGATGCAGTTGTCGATTCAAATCCCGTAGATGTGAAAGTAGTAAAATTATATGCAGTAATCGGAAAGATTAAGGCTTGAAGATGTTATTCAAGGAGTATAATCCAGTGAAATAAATTTGGAAAGAGAAAAAAAAATAGACAAGCGGGAATAAGGAGATCAAAATTTGGGAGAACACAAAGAGTGTATGCACCTGCGCCATTGCAAACGATTTTGAGCCATGTCATTCGAGGTCTCTAACCATCGGTTGTTGTTGTTGTCTCGCGGATCCCAACCAGGTATTCTACACCTACCAACATGGCTCAGTCCACTTGTCAGTGACTTCATGGATTTGTGCCACGTTTTGGTCTGGCCACTCCTGGCTTTCTTCCAACCTATTCCTATACCACTGAACATCGCACGTCGAGGCAGTCGGTCGTTGGGTATACGTAACACGTGTCCCAGCCATCTCAACTGATAAAGTTTCACTAATTCGTCAATTGATTTGCCATCCTTACCTAGTACCCGTTTCCTAACAACTGCGTTACTTATTCGATGGTCCCAGGATGTACGAGCAATGTTTCGAAGACACCTATGATTAAAAACTAGTAACCTACGAATATCCTCTACTCTTACCGGCCATGTTTCACTGTCATAAAGTAGGACGGAACAAACTGCTGCGCAGTAAACCGGTCCTTCGTTTGATAAACAGATATCTCGGCTACGCCATAAATGACGCAAGTTGACAAAAGCTAGTCGAGCCTTCTGTATCCGTGCTGAGATTTCGTCACACACCAGACCACAAGGGCTGATGAGACTTCCAAGATAAGTGAAGCGGTCGACACACTCAACTACTTCACTCCCTATCACTAGTTCGGGTGTCAGTGCAACCCAATCATGAAGTAACATTTTGCATTTCGAGGGGGAGAATCGCATGCCGAACATGCTTGCATTGTTGCTTAGAGTGGTTAGCGTCTTCGCCAAATAAAACTATGTCATCAGCATATTCAAAGTCAACAAGCGAACCTCCCGATAGAAGTTCAACCCCTGGAAATTTAGATGAGGAAAATATTGTCTCTGAAAGCACGTCAACGACAAAGTCAAATAAGAATAGAGAGAGTGGACAGTCATGACGAACACTACTAGAGGTAATCAATTCCGATGACAGTTCGCCATAAGCTCTCACTCGACCAGTTGTGTTCGAGTAGAGAGCCTTTACAAGGTTAATGTACTTCTTCGGTTCTCCTTTCAGTGACAAGCACTGTCACAGAACCTCACGATCAACAGAGTCATATGCCACCTTAAGGTTGAGAAATACTACTATTGTAGGTCGTCTGAATGTGTGTCTATGTTCTAGGACCTGACGTGGTGTCAGTGTCTTGTCTATACAACCACGTCCAGGTCGAAAACCAGTCTGGTTTTTTCTAGTCTGCTCTTCGTGAGGTTTAGTTAGGCGTCGAAGTATTATTGAAGCTAATATTTTAGACACTGTGTTAGTCAAACTGATTCCTCTGTGATTGTCACAAGAGGACTTTTGTCCTTTCTTAAAAACTGGCACAATCAGTGATTGAGACCAGTCAGATGGGATTACGTCCAGTTCCTCAGTTAATTTCACTGCTAATACTGGACCACCATCCTTAAAAATCTCAGGAGTAAACCTGTCAGGGCCTGTTGCTCTCCCTCGCTTCTGGTTTTCTACAGCTCTTTCAACTTCGTAAAGAGTTGGAGGACTTATATTAACTTGCCATTCAGGTTGACTGGAGATCGTGGGAAATCGAAGTGTGGCTGAAGGCCAGTTGAACTGCCCATCAATCCAATCTCCTGGATTGAGAATAAGTAATATGTCCGTCTTTTTCTGAGATAGTTTTGCTAACAGTTGGGTTCCTAATACCGGTTTCCTTAACAAGTCTGAACAATTGTCTGCTGTTACCTATTGCCGCTACCTTTCCCATCTCTTGCTTTCGCTACCCACCACTGTTCACGATCACTGCGTAGGCTTCTTGTCAGCTTGCGCTTAAGCTGATTCTGCCCTTCGTTATGTTCAGAGCCAGGTGGAATGAGTTTCCGAGCATTTATCAGTGCGGTAGATGCTGCTGAGAACCAGTGTTCCTCCCTAACCTTACGGGTTACCGTACTAGCAGATATCACTGCTGTTTCCACAGCTTTTCGGATATCATTCCATGCTGCTTCGGGGTGGGCATCACATACATGGCTGCCTAACTGTTTTCCTAGTTGTTCCTGAAATATACTCTTAGCTTGAATATCATTAAGTAGGCCCCTAAGAGGTTTACTTGCAGCGTCTTTCCTACGTCCAGTAAGACGCAGACAAATACGCGCTCGTACTAAAGCATGGTCTGAATCTAAGCATGTGCTCCAGAATGAGCGACAGTCTTCTATCGAGCCCCTTCATCGGTGGCTAATAGCGATGTGATCTATTTGGGACGAATTAGGGTGTCGCCATGTTAAAAGATGTTTTTCCTTATGCCTAAAGTTAGTATTTGCAAGAAAGAGGCGGTTTTCTCAGCATAGCTGCAACAGACAGTCGCCATTATCTGTTCTTTGAGCCACGACACTAAGATCCACCCAGGTGTCTTTCCCTATCGCTTAGTTTACCTACTTGAGCATTAAAGTCACCGGCCACTATTACTACAGCACCTAGCTGTTAAGAGGTCGGAGAGCTTTCTGTAAAACTCATCTTTTACATCATCTGAGCTGCAGTCAGTGGGAGAGTAGGCAGAGACAACGAAGAGGCAACGACGAGTGTCCCTATATTTCCGAGTCCTTACTGTTCCGTTCAGTCGGACAGCGCACAAATGACTGTCTACTGGGATCCACTCTAAGAGAGCTAGTACTGCCCTAGGACTCAATGCTATACCTACGCCGGCGGGGCCACGGGAAGCAGAATCAGGGCTTCCAGATACACGAAGTGTGAATCGAGTCGGTTCTTTATTTTGGCATGGTGAGGTCAGATGAATGACGCTACTCGGATCCTGTATGCGCGTTTCGGAGACGCAGCACACGTCGATGGCACGTGATTCTAAAGTCTTAGCTAAGGAAGCATGTTATCCTATTTGGCACAGAGTTCGGACGTTAAAAGCTCCTACGTGTAGTTTAGAGCGTGGTTTCAGGAGACCAGGAATAGCGTTCCGCGTACTCGAATCGTTTGCCCTAGCGGTGCGAGGTGATAAAGAGACGTGAGGAGGGTTAGTCATGGAGATAAGAGACATTAGGAGGGATTTGAATGTGACCAGCTTGGTCTCGTGTGCTGTTACGGGTATGAGGGCTGATATCACTTCCCGGTTGCCCACACCGTGGAAAGGTATTTCTTGAGGAACCTGAAAAGGAAATCCGATTAGTGTTGGTCTTAACGACCTGGAAGCGTGACCGCAGAGCCCAAGGGACAACTGCTTGAGGCCGGTCGCAAACGACCCTTTCGTGGAAGGTTTTTAATGTGTTAGCTCCGTTCTCCAAAGGGCCTTACCACCGGAAACGGAAATCTGTGAGGTACGGTGAGGTGTGACATTTTTAGGGTGGACCTTCTCTAACCCCACCCCTCCTTGTGGGAAGGCAGCATCGCTGCAGATGCTGGTTGTCCGAGGGAAACACCTTACTCCTGTCATACCCCTGTACAGTCAGCAGTACGACTTCGCCCTCAGACCTTGAGTTACTGCTTTTAGTCTAACCGTTCTCCAATCGACCTGCCTGGCATGGTAGAACCTACAGGAACATATGTTCCAGCCAATATAGTTCGGTTGGGTCATCACAATAGGCAAGCCCGACCATCACGTTAAGGTAGCATCTACGGTCGGTGCTTCTAATATAAGCTACTTCCGATTATATTTTATCGAATAAAGTAACTATTTATAAGAGAATGTTTAGTCGAAAATACACTCGTTTATATATTGATTCATACACCCATTTTTGATTAATAATTAGAATAAAATCACATATATGAAAAATAATTAGTTATAACAAATCATATGCTGAATGTATTTTATGTTAACTTTATACAAAAATATCGTGTGTTATACATAATAAAATGTTATACGGGAAAAAAACAAATACTACCATTACATTGATTTAAAACAAGTAATGTTGAACAGAAACCATAATGAGTAAATCAATATAATTTTGACTTTCGTCCCGTCATATTATCCATCTATTTTTGCGTTTAAGGCAAAAGATAAATTTAATTTCATCACATTATTTAAGTCAAGCAAAAGACATCTAATTAAAGCGTAATTATTAAGTAGAAATTATTACTTCGCTTCGGTTTGAGAAGTATTTCAGATAGATTCAGAGTATCTTTTGTGTTTTCACCGGACATACGAGTTTTATGTTTAGTTTCTCCACTTCTTCGTACAATTTTCGAAGGATTTTTGATATCTTTTAAAGTTTATCCGAATTCTCTCACCATCTTTCTTATTGCCACAAACTCATTTTTTTAAAAATCTCTTTTCAGGCACGGATAGAGCGACTTCGAGAACGGTCGGCTAACCGTTCAGGAAACAATACGTTTCGCCGCCAGTTTGCAGAACATGATCACTCTGGCCGTACTGCAAGTGCTTCTCCTTCTTTGGGAACCTCGCGAAATCCAAGCACTCTTATGACAACTTCGTGTGTGGTCGCCTTTGGAAGCAGCGCTCCGCGCTCTATATGTACGCAACAAAGTGCAGCAGCTTTACGTTTGAAACAGGCTTTTGAAGCGCGATTAGCTAGCTACCTTACCGGTCGACATAGTGGGTGCTTTTTTACAGCAGCTGCAGCACCTTATTATTCGTGCTTTATAGATACATCACATGGACCTCGGCCTCAAATCTCTGTGTATAAATCGAGGCCCTGTAATCGAGGTGTAACGCAGTCTAGGCGAGCTGTTTCAGCTCATGCCTCTGTTTTGCGTCATACTAAGTCTTCATTCACTCGGGTTACTCATGCTCGACGTCAACAAAATTCTCTTACTAACAGAGACACTGTTTTCAAAAATGGTCAACCTATCAGCACTAAAGTCTTGAAATCCCCAAACACTACCACAGTTCCTGATGGGCACAATGTCGAGAGTAATCGAACCAGTGAAGGTTTGTCTGCATCCCTATCGTGCCTGCTACCCCCGCATACGAAAACGTTGTTTTCTCTGAAACGGAGTATCATATGTCATGCATGCCGATTCTTATATCCCTCATATATGCTTTTATATATGTTCAGCTTTCATTCATTCATGCGGTGAAGCTTCTCTCATACTTTTATTCGGGTTTTCTCAAGCTAATTATACTTGCATGCTACTCTTTAAACGTAGATATTTACACTAATGTAGTCTAAAATGTAATTTTATTATTTTGGTAGGATAGAAAGTTAATTTATCATTTCGCCACCATATAATACTCAGCATTCTCAATAAACTGGTGATTAACTTTTTGTCGCTTGTTTAGTGCACTCACGATTTATCTTAATCCGCATTTTAACTTTCTGTTCTGGAGTTTTTTAAACATGCATCCGTGTGTTTACAAAATTAACTTGAATCAATTTAACCAGGATCTTTCTTGTAGTATTTCAATATTATTTGTTGCAAAAGCTATCATGCTATTTGGATATTCTTGTCTTATTATACATTTATTATCCTTTATTTAAAATATCTCCGAATTAAAAGAGTTATTCAGTGTAAGTTTTAAAGACTAATCGTGGTTGTTGGCTTCCTAAATTTCTGTTTCACATTGATTACCCAGTTATCTTTATGCATAAGTTAAAGTCTTTTATAGTGAGGCTGTTGTATTTAATAATAATGAACCTGGATAATAGTTTACTTTCAATGTTTTAGTATTGTTTGCAAGTTGACAGTTTAGTTATTGTAATGTCTAATAGCCCCTAAATGCCCTGGTACGGCCGAGAGTAGGGAGAGTCCGCTCTCCCTCTCGAAATGCTCTCATATAGCCACGTGTATATAGCCTCTGCCAGGGAAGTCCTACTCACTGCCTTCTCGTGGGGGGGGATGTTGTTTACAGAATTGAGAGGACGAAAAGCGGATGTCCGACGTTTTAGCCGGGTTGGTCGACACAGAGTCCATCTAGGGGAATTGGGAAACCCTGATTCCAAACCAATGATGCACATGGGCTCCAGCATCCTGAGGAAACAAATGGCGTATGAACCAATCGTTGGTCACCGGCTACCATGGGACTGCATCTCCTTACAATGCTCCAGTGCCTTGTGGATCAGATCTTCAGGTCGAAGTCTCAAGGCGTGGCACCCTAGGAAAGCCACCTGCTTCGGTTTGGGCACCCTCACACAAATCAAATGAGATTTGTAACTGGTGCCCCCTCGTACCAGTAATAATGTGTTCAAATAAACAAAATAAATGCCTAAAAAGTAAACTAAGAAACTAATCACTGCTCCATCATAAAATAGGATTGTCAATGTGATGAGTAGACTTCAAGTTATAGATATGTTATAAATGAACTGTCATAAATCTGTGGTTTTTAATGTAGCAACCACTGAATCGAAAGACAATAATTTTAAGTTAAATGTGCCTTATCTTCACATGTATACCATTAAGTTTGTGTATATTTCTTCTAGCATCTCGTTATCAAAGTCACTTTATCAATTTTGTTCGCTTTCCGATGTGTTCACTTGTATATGAGTGCGAGTAAATACGGTTATTTTTCTAGCTTTCATTGAATTTGCTTAAAACTCATTAATTAAACTATAATACATTGCTTTTCATATTTATTTTCGGTGTCTGTCATATCACATCCTGTGATTAGTTGAAAGTGTTATATAAATCAATAATGTGGTAATCTGCCTGCCTGTTTATTCATGAAAAAGAAATGTTTGTATCTTCATGTTGTACTGTTATTTGCTACCTAATTGATTTATTTTTATCTTTTTGGTTTAGATTTATTCAAATCTTTTGATAAGTTTAGTTTGTAGCTTACTAATTTATCGTAAATATATGGGATGGAGCTAGCCATGTTGACAGTTTAGCAGTGACTAGAGATATTAGTGGTTTTGTATTCTTTGTAGCTTTTGGTGTTGCTGATCACTTATTAAAAACGACGAATCACTCACAGAATTTTGTAGTTCATAGTCTTTCAATTCTATCAATAACTTATTCGTCAGTTGTCAAGTAAATCAGCTCGATGTTTGATCATTTTTACATGATTACCTCACGTCTTAATTGGGGTCTAACAGTACTCAACTCATATTTCATTTAGAATCAGGATTACAGAGTTTAAGCAACATTTGTATGTATTGTATTTAGTGTATAATTCATTTCCAAATATGTTTTATTCGGTGTGCTCGTCGTTTTCATCGCCTCAGCTTATTTCATCTGGAGTTTATTTCATCAAATCAATCTGGCCACTTTATCCATTCATCGTGAAAATAATCTCTTGATTAGATCATCGTAGGTGTTTTAATTGCATGCCGATTTTTGTCATCATACATATGTTTTTTTAAACTCCTAAATGGTCTCCCACTTTTAATTTTAGTAATTTCAAGTCGATCTAATTCATCCAACGAATGTGATAAAATTGGGCGTCTTAATCATCATCCCAAAGTGCCAAAACATATTACTGCACCCGCAAATACATCGAAAACGAAAGAACATACAGGTAAAATATTGCTTTCATGTTTGTGATGTTATTATTATACTCATTTTTCTCATTTCCCTCATTAATTGTTGACCAAAAACTCACCTCTCTAACACCATTCTTGGAAAAAATACGCTTATACTCAAACATCTCTTTGTTCAAAACATACTGATAGCTTTTAATATCTTTAAACGTTTTATGTTCCGTGGTGTTTATCATCGACTTTTTTTTCGGATTACGAGCTCTCTTAATAGATTTCTAAACACTAGCGTAGTTGCGTTCCCAAATCTCATTTCTGTTTGATGATACCCAGCAAGATAATGAAAACTTCATACTTAAATCATCCAGCTCAGAGATTAAAATTCCTCCAAAACCATTCATTTGAGTCACAAATCTTCCACATCATCTCTAGATATTCCCTCGATTAAAAAGTGGATATTTTGAAGATGGTTATCAGTGGAATTTACTCTTTTTGGGCAAATCAGGAAAAAAGGTTGGTACATTTAACTAATGAGTCTTAAATAGGACAGGATTCTCATTCTAAATTCTAATGTTAGCTGTTATCCAAACTATCTTAATATCTTTCATCGTTCATATTGAACGTGTACTCTTTGTAGTCTTAATTACTTGGGTTATTCTATATTTTGAACTTTATATGTCAGAATTAGTACCCACGGAACATTTAACAACCTTTACAGTTTTTCTCATTCTCGTCTTTGACTTGTTTACTAGCTCTACTTAAAATTTGTCAGAGTAATTTCTCGTGGAATCAGTTACACTAACTCATTTACATTCATTAATTAACCATAGATGAATAGTCATCCACCATAGAGAATGAACAGTTGTCGTGCGCTATCATGAATTGTTTGAAGTTATGCATTACACCATTGTGTGACGGCTCAATGGTCTAAAGGTTAGGCGTCTGCGTGTGAGACTTACTGTCTTTTGTTTGATTCCCTGCGGTGGGATTGTGGATCCTCACTGTTGATGAGTCCTATCCTAAGACAAAACAGGTGTTTATCGCTCCCAGGTTTCCCGTGGTAGTCTATCTAAAATCAGTTCGCAATTTAAATTATGAAAACCCCCTTGTCGTAAAAATAGATCAGAGTGACGATTATCTCCGGAGTTCGTTTGTCTCTAGATTTTGTAGTAGAATCTGTTTTCAGTAATCTTCATATTCATGAAATTGTTACTGAATTGTAATCAAATCACAAAATTTACCTTAACGGTATAAATTTCTGTGATCATGATATTTGTAATGATTTATGGAAAAGTGATCTACTTCCTTAACTTTTTTCAAATTTGACCAAATGTTCAGTTGTATTTCGAAATTATTCTAAATGATCATTTATGTGAAAAGTTCGATGTTGTTGTTGCTGTAAAGAAACAACTCATACAATGTGATTCAAAATAATGAATTGAAAATTCACTTAAATTTTCCAGGTCGGTGACACATTGTTGTTACATCTGATTTATTCAATAGCTAATTTTACACCAAACGTCCTAGGCGTTTTTTTCTTCTGCAATATTCTATTGATGTTTTATATTCTTAATGACTTCATTTAGTTAAGTGTACATCCTAAATGGTTTGTGTTGTGATTTTTTTTCTTTTTCAACATTTTTATGATAAATAATAGGGACTTAGTTTGAACACTTTTCAATTTGAATCTATATCATTTAGTTTTCACTTAGTTTCATTTACGAATACTATAGTGACACGATAGCTGACATTCTCCGGAGTACAATATTCAGTTAATTGATGAATATTTTTACCGTGAGATCATTTGTATATAGTTTTTAGTTGTTTAACAATATATCATAGGGCAATTTTAAGCTAAATAACACTTAACTTAGTCACTTAAAAGAAAATAACTCATTTTGGTGTTCTCGTGTAATTGATTAAGTTTTGTGTTAATTCATTAATCGAAATCTCATTTGGCATATTGCTTCATCTTTTCCTTCAAAGAATAAGCCGATTATTTAAGATAATCAACTGTGATTTTACTACTTGTGATTTTTCTAAATCAAGGAAATTCTATGAATATCAATACCTAATCTCATCTGTTATAGCTAAGTTGGAAAATATGGTCCCACCTTCAGATTCCACTAGTTCTACACGTTCCAACTCTATTGAGAGACGATCTAGACAACCAACTATTTCTGTATTCGAACGTTTAACAATGTCTCGTTCTGTCACTACTTCTGGAAACGTTACGACAAATAAAGCAAGACCTGTCCATTCGTCTGCTAGTACTGTGCATGTGGCAAAAAGACCTGGTGAGTTTGCTTGTAATATGAGGCTTACAAATATGATTTTTACTCTAAGACAGCTTTTTATTTAGGCTACATCCATTTTGATTGTTCTATTTTAAATCCACTGGAAGTTTTTAGTTGAAACTCAATGTAACATACTAAAATACAGATACTTTAGCACTATATGTTGTCTAAAAAAGTGTAAAATGATCATATTGCTTCATGAGTTTAATATGTAACCCAAACCGATGTGACTTTGTCAACTTTATTCTGATTCCCAACTTAAAGTCACCTCAAAGCAATGCTTCTCTGTTTCAACCTTATCGCACTGTCTTTTCAGTTACAGTGGTATATAAAGAGCTATGAGTGTCAGTGTCACAGTTTAGGTGTTTTTCTCAGTAGCAATTCATTACGGAATTACAAAATGTCGATTTAGTTACTTTTCAAAATGTTTGTCTATTCACTTAATTTCACGCTATACATCACTAATTTGGCTTTCTTGATAAGAGATTTACAGTTCACCAACTTTTTCAGATCAGTAGTTGTCTTGATAAGTTAAACTCTGATTCCATTGTACCATGCTTCTCATGTATTGTATGAAGTTCAGTAAATAAAACATGATTAGTAAGTTATAAAATCCCATACATTTTTTCGCTCGTTATTATCTACCATGTGAATGCAATTTTTACACATGATTTTTTACGTAAATAAAATATTTTTATAGAAGCATTATAATGAACCACGTTACTTAATCACATAACCATATAATAATCGATTTAAATGAGTTAGTGGACTTTTTTTCTTCGTTAAAATACTTCTGGATTACAAAGAACATGTGTACATAGTACATAGCAAATACATAAAACTACGTGGAAGAATAAATAATTGATACAAAAAAAACTCACGAAACAGCACTTGAATTATCTACGATGAAATATAACTACAACGAGGGAAAATTAGTCATTAAACATAATGTGGAGTTTTAACCATTGGAAAATACCTTAGGATTAGGGAGTTATAATTATTCTGACAACGTAAAATCAAACATGATCAACATTCTCAGGCCCGGCCGAGGCTGCTACCTTGATGCAGTGGTCGGGCTTGCCTATCGTGATGACCCAACCGAACTATATTGGCTGGAACATATGTTCCTGTAGGTTCTATCATGCCAGGCAGGTCGATTGGAGAACGGTTAGACTAAAAGCAGTAACTCAAGGTCTGAGGGCGAAGTCGTACTGCTGACTGTACAGGGGTATGACAGGAGTAAGGTGTTTCCCTCGGACAACCAGCATCTGCAGCGATGCTGCCTTCCCACAAGGAGGGGTGGGGTTAGAGAAGGTCCACCCTAAAAATGTCACACCTCACCGTACCTCACAGATTTCCGTTTCCGGTGGTAAGGCCCTTTGGAGAACGGAGCTAACACATTAAAAACCTTCCACGAAAGGGTCGTTTGCGACCGGCCTCAAGCAGTTGTCCCTTGGGCTCTGCGGTCACGCTTCCAGGTCGTTAAGACCAACACTAATCGGATTTCCTTTTCAGGTTCCTCAAGAAATACCTTTCCACGGTGTGGGCAACCGGGAAGTGATATCAGCCCTCATACCCGTAACAGCACACGAGACCAAGCTGGTCACATTCAAATCCCTCCTAATGTCTCTTATCTCCATGACTAACCCTCCTCACGTCTCTTTATCACCTCGCACCGCTAGGGCAAACGATTCGAGTACGCGGAACGCTATTCCTGGTCTCCTGAAACCACGCTCTAAACTACACGTAGGAGCTTTTAACGTCCGAACTCTGTGCCAAATAGGATAACATGCTTCCTTAGCTAAGACTTTAGAATCACGTGCCATCGACGTGTGCTGCGTCTCCGAAACGCGCATACAGGATCCGAGTAGCGTCATTCATCTGACCTCACCATGCCAAAATAAAGAACCGACTCGATTCACACTTCGTGTATCTGGAAGCCCTGATTCTGCTTCCCGTGGCCCCGCCGGCGTAGGTATAGCATTGAGTCCTAGGGCAGTACTAGCTCTCTTAGAGTGGATCCCAGTAGACAGTCATTTGTGCGCTGTCCGACTGAACGGAACAGTAAGGACTCGGAAATATAGGGACACTCGTCGTTGCCTCTTCGTTGTCTCTGCCTACTCTCCCACTGACTGCAGCTCAGATGATGTAAAAGATGAGTTTTACAGAAAGCTCTCCGACCTCTTAACAGCTAGGTGCTGTAGTAATAGTGGCCGGTGACTTTAATGCTCAAGTAGGTAAACTAAGCGATAGGGAAAGACACCTGGGTGGATCTTAGTGTCGTGGCTCAAAGAACAGATAATGGCGACTGTCTGTTGCAGCTATGCTGAGAAAACCGCCTCTTTCTTGCAAATACTAACTTTAGGCATAAGGAAAAACATCTTTTAACATGGCGACACCCTAATTCGTCCCAAATAGATCACATCGCTATTAGCCACCGATGAAGGGGCTCGATAGAAGACTGTCGCTCATTCTGGAGCACATGCTTAGATTCAGACCATGCTTTAGTACGAGCGCGTATTTGTCTGCGTCTTACTGGACGTAGGAAAGACGCTGCAAGTAAACCTCTTAGGGGCCTACTTAATGATATTCAAGCTAAGAGTATATTTCAGGAACAACTAGGAAAACAGTTAGGCAGCCATGTATGTGATGCCCACCCCGAAGCAGCATGGAATGATATCCGAAAAGCTGTGGAAACAGCAGTGATATCTGCTAGTACGGTAACCCGTAAGGTTAGGGAGGAACACTGGTTCTCAGCAGCATCTACCGCACTGATAAATGCTCGGAAACTCATTCCACCTGGCTCTGAACATAACGAAGGGCAGAATCAGCTTAAGCGCAAGCTGACAAGAAGCCTACGCAGTGATCGTGAACAGTGGTGGGTAGCGAAAGCAAGAGATGGGAAAGGTAGCGGCAATAGGTAACAGCAGACAATTGTTCAGACTTGTTAAGGAAACCGGTATTAGGAACCCAACTGTTAGCAAAACTATCTCAGAAAAAGACGGACATATTACTTATTCTCAATCCAGGAGATTGGATTGATGGGCAGTTCAACTGGCCTTCAGCCACACTTCGATTTCCCACGATCTCCAGTCAACCTGAATGGCAAGTTAATATAAGTCCTCCAACTCTTTACGAAGTTGAAAGAGCTGTAGAAAACCAGAAGCGAGGGAGAGCAACAGGCCCTGACAGGTTTACTCCTGAGATTTTTAAGGATGGTGGTCCAGTATTAGCAGTGAAATTAACTGAGGAACTGGACGTAATCCCATCTGACTGGTCTCAATCACTGATTGTGCCAGTTTTTAAGAAAGGACAAAAGTCCTCTTGTGACAATCACAGAGGAATCAGTTTGACTAACACAGTGTCTAAAATATTAGCTTCAATAATACTTCGACGCCTAACTAAACCTCACGAAGAGCAGACTAGAAAAAACCAGACTGGTTTTCGACCTGGACGTGGTTGTATAGACAAGACACTGACACCACGTCAGGTCCTAGAACATAGACACACATTCAGACGACCTACAATAGTAGTATTTCTCAACCTTAAGGTGGCATATGACTCTGTTGATCGTGAGGTTCTGTGACAGTGCTTGTCACTGAAAGGAGAACCGAAGAAGTACATTAACCTTGTAAAGGCTCTCTACTCGAACACAACTGGTCGAGTGAGAGCTTATGGCGAACTGTCATCGGAATTGATTACCTCCAGTAGTGTTCGTCATGACTGTCCACTCTCTCTATTCTTATTTGACTTTGTCGTTGACGTGCTTTCAGAGACAATATTTTCCTCATCTAAATTTCCAGGGGTTGAACTTCTATCGGGAGGTTCGCTTGTTGACTTTGAATATGCTGATGACATAGTTTTATTTGGCGAAGACGCTAACCACTCTAAGCAACAATGCAAGCATGTTCGGCATGCGATTCTCCCCCTCGAAATGCAAAATGTTACTTCATGATTGGGTTGCACTGACACCCGAACTAGTGATAGGGAGTTTTTTTTATTTTTTTATTTATTTCAACACATAGATAATGGTACAAAGAGGCACCAAATACATGTGCGCCACACAAATTTCATTCGATATGTGTGTGAGGGCTGTGATACTGCCCGGGTGCCCAAACCGAAGCAGGTGGTTTTCTTAGGGGGCCACGCCCCGAGCCTTCGACCTGAAGGTCTGATCCACAAGGCAGTGGAGCATCGTAAGGAGATGCAGTCCCATGGAAGCCGGTGACCAACAATTGGTTCATACGCCATTTGTTCCCGCAGGATACTGGAGCCCATGTGCACCATTGGTTTGGAATACGGTTAAAGCGCCGGACATTCGCTTTTCGTCCTCTCATTTTTGTAAACAACACCCCCGCCACGAGAAGGCAGTGAGTAGGACTTCCCTGGAAGAGGCTATATACGCGTGGCCATGTGAGAGCATTTCGAGAGGGAGAGCGGACTCTCCCCACTCTCGGCCGTACCAGGGCATTTGGGGGCATTTAGGGAGTGAAGTAGTTGAGTGTGTCGACCGCTTCACTTATCTTGGAAGTCTCATCAGCCCTTGTGGTCTGGTGTGTGACGAAATCTCAGCACGGATACAGAAGGCTCGACTAGCTTTTGCCAACTTGCGTCATTTATGGCGTAGGCGAGATATCCGTCTACCAACCAAAGGACGTGTTTACTGCGCAGCAGTTCGTTCCGTCCTACTTTATGGCTGTGAAACATGGCCGGTAAGAGTAGAGGATATTCGTAGGTTACTAGTATTTGATCATAGGTGTCTTCGAAGTATTGCTCGTATATCCTGGGACCACCGAGTAAGTAACGCAGCTGTTAGGAAACGGGTACTAGGTAAGGATGGCAAATCAATTGATGAAGTAGTGAAACTTCATCAGTTGAGATGGCTGGGACACGTGTTACGTATGCCCAACCACCGACTACCTCGACGTGCTATATTCAGTGGTATAGGAGTAGGTTGGAAGAAAGCTAGGGGCGGCCAGACCAAAACATGGCACAAATCCATGAAGTCACTGACAAGTGGACTGAGTCATGTTGGTAGGTATAGACTACCTGGTTGGGGACCGCGAGATGATAGCAACCGATGGTTAGAGACCCTGAATGACATGGCTCAAAATCGTTTGCAATGGCGCAGGTGCATCCACTCTCTATGTTCTCCCAAATTCTAATTATCTGAATTCTTCATGCCCCTTTTTTTTCCTCTTTCCAAATTTATTTCACTGGATTATACTCGTTAAATAACATCTCCAAACCCTAATCTGCCCGATCACTGCTTATACTCTTGCTACCTCTACCACTACGGGATTTGAATCGACCACTGCATCTCTGTGCTAATGTGGTATGGCAACTCGAACTGATGTACGTACGTACTAAGTTCTACGTTGTTACTGACTGACAACTTGCGTCATTTATGGCGTAGCCGAGATATCTGTTTATCAAACGAAGGACCGGTTTACTGCGCAGCAGTTTGTTTCGTCCTACTTTATGACAGTGAAACATGGCCGGTAAGAGTAGAGGATATTCGTAGGTTACTAGTTTTTAATCATAGGTGTCTTCGAAACATTGCTCGTACATCCTGGGACCATCGAATAAGTAACGCAGTTGTTAGGAAACGGGTACTAGGTAAGGATGGCAAATCAATTGACGAATTAGTGAAACTTTATCAGTTGAGATGGCTGGGACACGTGTTACGTATACCCAACGACCGACTGCCTCGACGTGCGATGTTCAGTGGTATAGGAATAGGTTGGAAGAAAGCCAGGAGTGGCCAGACCAAAACGTGGCACAAATCCATGAAGTCACTGACAAGTGGACTGAGCCATGTTGGTAGGTGTAGAATACCTGGTTGGGATCCGCGAGACAACAACAACAACCGATGGTTAGAGACCTCGAATGACATGGCTCAAAATCGTTTGCAATGGCGCAGGTGCATACACTCTTTGTGTTCTCCCAAATTTTGATCTCCTTATTCCCGCTTGTCTATTTTTTTTCTCTTTCCAAATTTATTTCACTGGATTATACTCCTTGAATAACATCTTCAAACCTAATCTTTCTGATTACTGCTTATACTCTTACCGCCACTACCACTACGGGATTTGAATCGGCAATTGTATTTCTGTGCTTATGTGCTCTGACAACTCGAACTGATGTACGTACGTACGAAGTTCTACGTTGTTACTGGCTGATTGACTGACTGAACATTCTCAGATAATTTGAACTCAGTCCTTCTCAACAAGATGAGAAAGATTAAAAGGATAATGATCACTTTCTATGGACAAGAAACTATATACACAAAGCACAGCGTAATGAAAAAAAATTCCCTCAGAAGAGAGGCATGTATGTATGTGAGAACCCACTTATATACGAACTTGTTCGTATTCACTTTTATCGTATGTGTCCTTTCTTTTTCAATTTACCGGCTGGTGTACGTAGAATACATAAACATCACCAACTTAACAAGTATTTAGTTTTAGTATGGGGGATCATGAATTAATCTTAATTGGGCAATTTATTGGGAACCTGGGAGCAATAAACAGAGGGTTCGTTCCAGTATGAAACTTGGGAGTGAGCATCCATGATCTTGCATCTGAGAAATAAACCCAAGACTTTCGGTCTGGCCTGCGAACTACTAACCTGAATCCACACTTCTGAGAAGTCCCATACTAGGACAAAACTGCTGTCCAGTGCTTTCAGGTATTCAATGGTGGTCTATCTAAGACCAGTTCGTGATTTAGACTTTGTAAATACTCATAGTTATTTTTCATCGCTTTCCGTCATTGTAAACTTAGTAAGTTGTTAAATTTAAACTGAGCTGAGCTGAGGTTTCTGATTATCTCTCATGTATGTTGAAACTATTTTCTGTGTAAATATCAATACTGACTACATTTAAGTTACCGATGCTTATTCGAAGTGGTATTTTTATTGCCTCCCTGGCTATGTTATTAACTAACAGTCACTTCAAAGAACACGTAAATATAAATCCAGGAAATCATTGATTGTTTGTCTGATCTATTTTGGTAGACGCGGATCACCTGATCGAGGTTTACACGGTAACAGCAATCTTTGTCGAAGACATTGGTTGACGTGACTAAAAATCGTTCTCACGAACTTGCCGAATTGTACGCCCTGGCTCCGCAGGAACAGTTGAACCGGTTAATACACATGGATGTGGCAAATTCAGGCAACCTGTCTTTATTCCCATTTACTTTGCTATTAATCATATCAATTTCATCTCGTACTAGTACGGTATGGAGACGTAGTCAACACACATCTATGCTAGGATCGACGTTAATGACTAACCAACTGACTGACTACGTATTATAGGATTACCCGTATTTTGATGATCTTTTAGTTGGTTTCAAGAAGTATGACATAATGTGTTCGCATAAGCTACTATCATTTATATTCTTCTGACACTGTACTTATAGATAAACAAGCTGCTACTGTAGTGAACGAGAACACCAGTGAGTACAACCGAATTACAGAATCTCACAGTAAAATCTAAGAATCATACAGCAAATTCTTCATTTACGTACGAAAATATCAATCAGTTGTCTCATACTTTGCTGTTTCTCTATTTCCACACCAATCACTGTATGTTCTCGTTCTCCTTTCTTTGATCTTCTTAACCTTCTACCGCCAGACATTTCACTTTCGATTGATGATACACACGATTTATATTTGTCGACATCTTTAACACATGACACTACTAATAATTAAACAAACAAATATTTTTAAAAATGATTTACATCGTTTCCCCATCTATTTTTAATTACTTTTCCAGAATCTATTCGAGAATCCAAACGCAATGGTAACTCTGTCGTGCCACCTGTGATGTCTAAGTCCGTTTCTGGTGATGCGTTACATCTGCGCCACCAGAAGAAACCAGTGCTCCCCTCGAAACCCCTCTCACCGCCCTCTTATCCAACCAGAATCCAGGTTAGTATTTGATTTGTTTGGACATTTTTAAAGTTTGTTTTTACACTATTAATATATCAGGCTGTGTTGCTCTTTTATATATAGCTGTAGTATGATCATTTGTAACATGAACCGCTACGTAGTTCTTGTTATTATTCTCTGTGTTAGAGTATTATTATCTTTCGTATAAAGAACGGACGGGACTTACACACTTTTAGTACACATTTATTTTCATTTCTGAAGTTGAGTCTTACTTTATTTTGTTATAAATACTATCATTGTCCGTCTGTATCCTTTCGTCCTTATCATAATCCCTTATGCTTGAAGATTAGTTAAATGCTGACCGTTAGTCAAACGTCGGAGACTTGATGCTTCCCGAAAACTGTACAAACATACTCCCCTAAACCACTTACATAGACCACCACTCTTAATTGGGCACAGTAAACTATCGTCATAAGCTATTAATTCCAATAATGTGTACTAATATTTTCCTTCTGAATGCCTACCGTTATGTCGTTTTGATATCGTCAAAAATCCATCCATCCATGATTATACACTTTTGTAGAGAAGCATTCAGCTGAGCCTAAAACTTTAAATGAATTCTGAGCGTTTCATTTTCAGCGTGAACCTGGAACATGTTTTATTTGTGCAGTAATATTACGATGTTGTAATAACATTTGTCGATAGCTTTATTGGACGTGAATTACTACTCTTTTTCTCAAGTTATTTATTGTTTTATTATCAAATTGTCTCAGTTATCTACAATTTAACTCGAAGTATTCATCTCATTCGTGAAGCATATGCTAAATACTTTATATAATTAAATCTGTCTAAATCGGCTATACGTTTTATCTTTCCGTTTAATGTTTTTGTATAATTATATGGTTGATATTTCATTCATTTTGAAGGAACCAGAAACAGCTATTTCCAGTCTTCCTCCGTTACCTCAGTCTTCATCTGAGTCAGAAAGTGTTACTCAAGTAGCTGAAGATATCTCTATTAAAAAAGTGCCTTGCAGTGACTCTACTCCATCTCCTTCATCTCAAGTTAATGATGTAAAGAATGAAACTTCGTCCATTGTTGCACAAATAGGTCCAATTAAGGCTGAGACACGTGGTTCAGGTGAAGGTGCTATTTTATCTGAAAATGAAGCAGCAATTTATCGTGCAAAACTTTTTAAACAACGTCGCTTAGCAAAAGAGCGAATGGAAGAAGAAAAAAGGTCAGTATATATATACGTTCTATGGTACTGATAAATGTTATATCGGGTTATGCTTGAACAGTAGCAATAATAATAAGCTATGGATTGGAATATACAAAATGAGGAAATAGCAGCAAGAAATGTACATGAGGGACTTTCTGAAAAAAAACTCACTTTGACCTTAAATATGCGAACATTTAGTAATCGTCCCAAGCCTTAACACCAGTTGTAGAAATAGTTTATTTTTAATGTTTAGTAGAAGTCCACATGCGCGGAGAAAGCTAGAACACAGGGAGATGGGTGAGTGTGTGTGTTCTTATTATTTTATTTAGTTACTTACACCTGTTACTCCCAATGGAGCACAGGCCGCCGACCATCATTCTCCAATTCACTCTGTCCTGGGCATTCCTTTCTAGTTCTATCCAATTGTTGTTCATTCTTCTCATGTCTGTCTCCATTTCTCGGTGTCATGTGTTCTTTGGTCTTCCTCTCCACCTTTGGTTTTGAGGGTTCCAAGTGAGGGCTTGTCTCGTGACGCAGTTGGGTGCTTTTCTCAATGCGTGTCCTATCCACTTCCAGCGCTTCTTCCTGATTTCTCCTCGGCTGGGATCTGCTTTGTTCTCTCCCACAGTAGTTTGTTACTGATAGTGTCTGGCCAACGGATCCGAAGTATTTGGTGTAGACAACTGTTAATAAGGACTTCTGGATGATGACTTTCGTAGTTCTTCATTTTTCCGCCTCATATAGTAGAACCGTCTTGACATTTGTATTGAAAATTCTGACTTTTGTGTTGGTTGACAGACAGTTGTTTTGAATTCCAGATGTTCTCCAGTTGTAAATATGCTGCTATTGCTTTTCCGATCCCCGCGCCTTCACATCTGCATCAGATCCACTGTGTTCATCAATGATGCTGCCCAAATATGTAAAGGTTTTTACATCTTCCAAATCTTCTCCGTCAATTGTGATTGGATTGGTGCATGCTATTTTGTATCGGAGAATCTCTTCTTTTCGTGTATGTTGAGACCTAGTGCTGCTGAGGCTGCTACTACACTAGTCGTCTTCTGCATTTGTTGTTGCGTGTGCGATAGAAAAGCCAGATCGTCTGCGAAGTCGGGGTCGTCCAACTGCATCCTAGATGTCCACTATATCCCATGTTCCACTTCAGATGTTGACGTCTTCATGATCCAGTCGATCACCAGGAGAAAGAGAAAGGGTGAGAGTAAGCAACCTTGCCTGACACCGGTCTTTATTTCGAACAAGTTTGTCAACTGTCCTCCATGCACAATTTTTCAGTTTAATCCATCATAGGAATTGTGTATGATATTGACCATCTTTTGAGACACTCCGTAGTGTCGAAGAAGCTTCATAGTGTCGTTCTGTCCACCCTATCAAATGCTTTTTCGTAGTCAACGAAGTCGATGTAGAGTGACGAATTCGATTCAATTGATTGTTCCACAATGATCCGTAGAGTTGCGATTCGGTCTGTACACGATCTATTCTTACGGAATCCTGCCTGTTTGTCTCGAAGTTGGGCGTCTACGGAGTGCTTCATCCTGTTTAACAATACCCTTTTAAAGACTTTTCCTGGTACTGAGAGAAAAGTGATGTCCCCGTAGTTATCACACTTGCCGAGATCTTCTTTCTTTGGTATTTTGACCAGAAGTCTTACACTTAGTTTTTATGTTAATTTAGGGATTCGTTAAAATAAATAATTCACCTGCATATTCAAACAAGTTTTCGTATACAAAAATATGTAACGTCAATTAACTATTGATCGATAGTAATCCCTTTATGAGCTCATTAACTCTATCTGAATATTTTCTACATCATCATACACATGTATTGATCCTTATTCACACTCTTATGTATAAATATGTCAATATCTGTAATAATGTTGAATTTCAAATAATTTAGGATGTAAGCAGCTGATGAGAACCTAACGAAATAAAATGAATTCATATTATTCTGCACCAATCTTTGTTCTTGCTCTATTTAATCCCTTTATCCTTTTATTATTTTAGATTACTCGTGTTTGAACTAGTAATGTACTAGTTGAACATAGAGTATTCCAAATTCATGAGACCTCAGTTCCTCTTACACTTTATACAATACAATAGGATAGACTTAAGTGATAATTGTCGAGAAAGATTACATTCACCAAAAAAGGTTTAAACAATATACATGTATGCTACTGAGAGTTTTTATGTAGTAAATGGTTTTATGTCTGTACATTAATTATCCGATGAACAAAAAACCAACTCGTTCATATAGCACAATTCACCTTTAAGCATTGTTCACTATTATTTCTTAATTTATTTGTTTAATATGATTTAGAAATTATATATATTTTTAGACGATTGGAAGAGGAAAGTCGTAATCGACAAACCCAACAAGAGCAAGCTGGTTTAGCTGCCGAAGCTGAAGAAGCTCGTTTAAAAGAAGAACAGGACGCTCGTTTGGCTGAAGAAGCTCGTTTAAGGGAGGAGCAAGCTCTTCATCAGGCTGAAGAAGCTCAACGTGCAAAAGAAGCGGAAGAAGCCGCCAGGGTAATTATTATTTCTCTTTATCCTACCATTTCTCTATGAAGATAAATAAGAGTATTTCATGTTCTATGATTATCTATTTACTCTTAGCATTAATTTCAATCAAGATTTTCATCTTGAATTACAATGTTAAATAGTTCCAGTTTGCATTTAATTATTAAGCACAAGTTCCAGAATTTTTAGTGTGTCATATAGTCTCTAATGTGTGAAGTAAACTAAAAATCAGGTTGTACACATTTATGTAGGTAAGAGCTTCCAGTTCTCGTATAAATATCTTGATTGATTTACAAATAACATGTATTATATTTCAAAGATGTAATTGTTTGACTTTATTCAGTGTAAACTTAATGTAATTTAGTGAAATATTGGTTTTTGTAACATAATAAAATAGCTTTTAATTCTATTGGTTTTCGCCATATCGCTTTGTATTTTGTACACGAAGAATGTACTTTAATATAACATAAATAATCTTTTAAGTACTTGTTTAATTATGACTTTCTTGGATTAGTTTTCAGTGTGAAAGCATTAAATGTGATTTCGATGGTTACTACTTTAATGTGTAATAGTATTCTCATTCTTTTGTACTATAATTATTTTAGCTTCAAGCAGAAGAAGCAGAGCGCCTTGCGAAATTGCAACGTAGTGAAGAAGAAAGAGTTTTACGCAAGAAAAAGTTGGACAGTATTATGTCTCGTGTCAAAAGACCAGTGAAGTTAACATCTGAGGCAACTAGTGAATCTGGGTCTACAACCAATCTTCAATCAACGGATACCACACAATCATCTTTAGTGCCTGATACTACTTGTGCTTCGCCTGATAGAATCGTTAACCAAGAACCAACTATAGGTGTTGAAGCACCTAAAGTGGGGATCAATCCATCAGAGATTTATGAAACTTCTAATGGCAGAGTCATTTTTACTGTTGATGGTGAAAGGGTGAATGAATCTTCGGTAGGTTTATATTTCAAATAGATTTATATGACTTACGGTGGCTCACGAGTTTAGTTCTATGGCTAGAGAAACGTGAGTTTGAACGATACTGCACCTACAGAGTTTTGCGCTTCTACAAAAACATCAGTTTGGTTGCTAATTGTTATCAAATTTAAACGTTTTTGCGACCCACTCTTGTACATTTACAGTGCGACATTTATTCTCCGCTGATGCTTGCTAACCAACATGAATATTTTAGACTATTGGTATCGTATTTCCTTTTCCACGTAAACAGATCACTGATTCGGAAGCCACTTATTAATTAGTATTTAAACTAATAATGCTAAATAGAGGTCTACTTGAAGATTTGGATTACCTGTACCTTTCATCTAGATATTTTATAAAGTTATCTGCATTCTGTTCGTTTTAACACGTCATTATGTCTATTAATCACATAACCTATTCAGAAGCGTTTATGAAAAGCTTACGACCTTTCTCTGTACAAGTCACAAGATGTACAATCAGAGACATCGCGTGGCTGGCATTATGCATTGAGAAAATGAACATTATCCAGGTGTCGATTCCTGAACTGCTAACATCTAACTGGCGATTACTCAACATTTATCACTAGAATCCATCAAGAAATAAGAAAACGAAACTTGTTGAAATACTTTGTGCTGAGAATTCTAGATTGTACCAAAAATATATTGAATAAAGCCATTAATAATAATAAATAATAATAATTCAGCTGAATCCTAATACTTAAATCTTGATTGATATTTCTTTATAGAGAATATCCTCAATAAATTTGAAGGAATAAAACTAATCGTTATACACATTTTGTGTTATTTGATTACAGTCTTCACTTAATGACGAATCTGTCAACCAGTCATCTTTTTCACACACAATTACTGAAAACGATTCGAAAAATAATGTAAATAACACTTTTGAAGATCTCGTCTCCAGTACTACTATTACTACTACCATCAATGGAAAGTCGGATAATGATAACAATACACCATTAAATAATGTGAATGACGCAAAAGCAACAACACAAGTGACAAGCGATTCGGATTTGACAATGATAAGGAATAGTTCAAGTGCTAGTCATAGAACACCACAATTCAAATCTGCGTTATTGCAATCTATGCTAGGCGCAGGTCGTTTATCTGCACATGCTAAAGATGCTGTTGCTGGATTAAGGTGAATTACTATTTTTCTTCTGAAAAAAGGATCGTATATTTCCAATATTCATTCTGGATTCATATTTTACCCTTTCATATATATATCATCAGAAAGCGTTATGTTTACTCTAATAAAGGGTTACTCAAAAAGGTGTACATCAATAACGGTGATTTAAGAGTACAATAAAATAATACCACCGACATATTAAGTGGATAAACATAATCAAGAGTAATTGTCAAAATAGCAATAATGTAGCAGTAATGTAGAGTTACTGTCTTCAATTTTTTTATAAAATGATTTGATATGTATAGATATGCGAATTCAGATTGTGTGTACCATTCAGTTCACTTAAATAGTCTATTATCTATTTTAGTGGACCTGAATCTAATTCCAGTTATATCGTATGATTCACTGTTATCAAAATATACATATCGTCAATCCTTGTATATTATAATCGACTTAATTCGCGTTAGTGAGTGAATGAAAATAGAGTTTAAATACGTATTTATTCATACAATCGTTGACCTGAACAGACAATCGATCAGAGAAACGAAGCGAAGAAAATGAAGCGAAATGGTGCGCGGTGGAGGTGTGTGAACCAACACGATTTAACCAAGCATGAATCGATATTTATAGTCAGATAAAAATAAGTTACAGACGTGTGATGAGTAAGATAGGAAATTCACACACATATGCTTACATAAAAACAATCAAAGCGAATAGTTAACAAAGTTAAAATGTGACTCAAGAAGAATGAATAAATTGACCTATTCGGAAGATAGAATAAGCTGTGTAGACTTGCATATCACTACACTGTCTTTCTCTTATCTTTTCTGATCAGTTTAATGTGTGTCACTACCTCCTTGTACTTATATCTTGCGTGCTCTTACCGGTTCCCTGCAAATCATAACATCATTGTACTACGCCTTACGATATCTTGTTCGATTCATTGTTCACTGAAGCCGGTTTACTTCTCATAAAGCATTCTACCAAATTACGTCACTTGTTGAGAGCTAATTTCCTCTATATCCAACTCCAATAAATGATATCCCGTTAACTGAGTGTTTAAGGTAGGCTAACTCTCCTAGTAGAATTATGGATTCACTCGAGATTATTCAGAAGCCTGAACATCAGTTGTAGAGATATTTTATTGTTAAAGATAAATAAAATCCACAAGCGCACAGCGAGCAAGCACACTGTGAACCAAAGAGAGTGTGTGTGTGAGAGTTAAAAATTCATATATATTTTTGAGTGTCAATCAAGTGTGGATAATTTATTGATTATCTGTTTGTTACAACCAATAGGAGAATAGATTAAGGTTGATGTGCAGACAAGCGCTCAATCATACACACATACAAATTAACATAGTGAATGAAGTGTCTGAATTACAATGATTAGACAAATGATACAATAGTTGAATGGGCTTGCTACACACTTACAAAATGGACATTCATGGTTTACTGTGTGGTGGAATATCTTCGGAATAATTTTTAATGCACCGCATGTTACTCGTCCTGACAACCGTTATAAATTTCAGAAGACAGTACAAAGTGTTGACTACAGTTTATCATTGTACAGCACAGATCACATGACCACAACCACACAAAGCGAGTCCGAATAGAAATGGAGATGTGAGAAAATACCAGCAAACGAATGAATTAATTGGGTTTTAGAAGCACATACATTCAATAAAAAGTCGTAAGTAGAGCAGATACTTACTTCACTAAGCAAAATATGTTGGCTATTGTAGTAAGCGTTAACTGAATGCATCTAAACGCTTGAATCAAATTATCCATACATAATAAGTCTCCCTTTTTGATGGTCAACCATGAAGTAACAATATCCTGTCCTCACTTTCGTCCTTTCATTCTTTAATGATTATTCAAACGTGTGAATTTCTTATGGGTAACTAAAACTTGTAGACATATTTATCCAAGTTCTATGTTGCCTATGATTAACCTGATTGAAATAATTTACAATATTTGTTCATCTCCTCAACTTTAATTTCTACCAATGAAATTTTTCTAGTTGCTGTTATGCTCTGCTTATTGTTGCTATTATATTTTAATTAATTATAGATTTTATTAGTTTAAACTAATTTTATATTATTTTCAATTGTCAGACGTAATTCTTCTCAAATACAAAATGATCAAAGTACAAATGATAATTGGTCTCAACATCATGAACATAGTGATTCTACTGTGTCTAGTTTCTACTCAGTTAATAGTACACTTATTCAGGACTCTGGTGATTCTGTAAATATAAACAATAGTTCTTCAAGTAAACACATATTATTGTGTTTTATATCTGTATTTTATAGATTTCATCTAAATTATCTAAAATTTATTGAATATGATTTATGAATTAGTTGTTACATAATAATAAGGACAATACTCTGTAATACTTAAAGTAGTTGTTGGACGTAGTTGACAGGACACCCAGCTTGACTTAGATTTTTCCCATTTGACACTCATCAGCATGGTGTACTTGTAACCTAGAGGGAATTGTTACTCTCTGGCGAATTCGATACTGTATCGAGTTACTACATTTTTCATTACTTAATAATCAATAACTTGTAAATAAATCTCAGCACTACATGAGATCCTTTTGGCCTGAATAGCTCAGTAGTGACGTCTGACTATGAAGCTGAGGAGCATGGGATCGGAACTTCCAGAGAGCATTAGTTGCCTCGAGATTACAGGTACACTGTGCTGACGAGTACCAAATAGGACGAAACCCATGTCATGCAGGGTTCACTGTCGACTATCCCCAAACACTATCTTACCTCTCAACATAATGCAAACGTTGTTGTGACACTTAGACCAGTTATTTGCTTATTTAAACGCATAAACATTGGTACAAGAGGGCACCAAATACATATGCATCACACAAATCACTTGATTTTTGTGAGGGCTAGAATACTGCCGGGGCGCCCAAACTGAAGCACGTGGTTTTCTTAGGGAGCCACTCCCCGTGCTCTTGACCTGGAGGTCTTATCCACATGGTAATGGAGTGACGTTAGATGCAGTCCCATAGTAACCGATGACCAACAATATGTTCATACGCCATTTGTTCCTTTAGGATACTGGAACCCATGTACACCATTAGTTTGAAATTAGGATTTTCCAACTCCTTCAGATGTTTCCCGTACCTACTAACCCGGGTAAAGCACCAGACATTCTCTTTTCGTCCTCTCAATCTCCTAAACAACACCGCCACGAGAAAGCAGTGAGTAGGACTTTCCTGACAGTGGCTGTATACGCGTAGCCATGTGGGAACATTTGGAGAGGTAGAGTGGACTCTCCACACCCTAGATCACACCAGGGCATTTGGGGATTAGTAACCGCGGTGCGGTCGATATAATTCGACTAGCACCAAGGTGGGTTTGACATACTTGATATTGATCACTATTCAATGATCAATCAATTTGTAAAGCTCCGCAACATCGTGTTTCTATGACTTCAGTGCATTATAAGAACATATTTTATGTAATGTGTTTCTTAGTAGTCCACAGTGCATTTTATTTATAGTGGATTATCTGTCAATAAATAGTTAATAAAAATCTTTCCATTTTCATACTTGTTTATACTGATGAGTAAGATGTATCCATGATCACGCGAAAATTCATTCATATGCTCTGTCCGAAGTTCAAATACGTTGTCCAGTGATGGACAGGTATTATTACGAACTGGTGCGACTATGAGTGATTAAATATGAATCACATAAATATGTATATATTTCAGGACAAAATTGTTTAATTTTGTAATTTATCTGTTCTTCATCTCTGTCATTCCAGCGTTTTTGTTTACCATCTTTGTATTCCACGTGTTTCCGTCATAGAATTTAAATTGTATTTGTGAATTAACCGCTTCCCTGAGAAAGTCCTTTTATTCCGTACAATTTAAATTTGCACTCTATTATACACCAAACTTCTACAATAATGACTTGATTTTTCGAATTTATTTTGTTATCTTATGTTTTCTAAGGATCATTTGCTAACCATGGATATGTACAGACGAGTTGTACAAGTAGTACTGCCCTTTAGTAGAGATAATGAAAGTCCTCTGATCAGAAACAAATCTTATTCCGGGTATTTTAATAAAGTTTTATCCCAACTGCATTAACTTTGGGGTACATCAATGTACATCTTGTTAACACATAATATAAATAGTAGAATAAAGATAATTGAGGTGAACAATCTGTCCTTAGCATATTCATTCATGTATGAAGTTAATTTAAGCCCCCAAATGCCCTGGTACGACCGAGAGTGGAGAGAGCCCGCTCTCCCTCTCGAAATGCTCACACATGGCCACGCGTATATAGCCTCTGACAGGGAAGTCCTACTCACTGCCTTCTTGTGGCATTACTGTTGTTTACGAAAATGAGAGTACAAAAAGCAAATGCCCGACACTTTAACCGGATTCCAAACCAATGGTGCACATGGGCTCCAGTATACTGCGAGAACAAATGATGTATGAACCAATTGTTGGTCACCGGCTTCCATGGGACTGCATTCGCTCACGATGCTCCACTGCCTTATGGATCAGACCTTTAGGTCGAAGGCTCGGGTAGTGGCCCCCTAAGAAAATCACCTGCTTCGGTTTGGTCACCCGGGCAGTATCACAGCCCTCACACATATAGAATGAGATTTGTGTGCCGCATATGTATTTGGTGCCTCCTTGTACTAATATCTATGCGGTAAAATAAATAAATAAATAAATAAAGGTTTGTTCGAACCAAACAACTACATTCGTCAGTCAGTTAGTAACAACGTAGAAACTTCGTACGTACGTACATCAGTTCGAGTTGCCATACAGAGATGCAGTTGTCGATTCAAATCCCGTAGTTGTGGAAGTAGTAAAATTATATGCAGTAGTCGGAAAAATTAAGGCTTGAAGATGTTATTCAAGGAGTATAATCCAGTGAAATAAATTTGGAAACAGAAAGGAACACGAAGAGTCCAGAAGATCAGAATTTGAGAGAACACAAGGAGTGATGCACCTGCGCCATTGCAAACGATTTTAAGCCATGTTATTCAAGGTCTTCAACCATCGGCTTCTATCATCTCGCATCGTGCATTAAACATTCCTTATACATTTCTATCGATAAAAATAGTTATTGTATTGCATCCTGGAATTACTTGTTTCCTATTGCCGGTCACCAAATTATTTAAATATTTTGCTATCGAAAGTAGTCAAGAATACTATTTTGGTTTTTTATACACTATCTATTTTATCTTCAGTTATGCATTCTGTGCGGGACACATCTAGGCATTATCAACATGATCTACCTCACCTTAATGGATCAAAGTAAGATGAAAGTTGTTTGGTTGTTTTTTTTTGCGTGATACCAGTTACTTAATGTCACTATTTCATTCATAGTAAATTTTAGTGGTAAGGGTCCTTCTTGTGCATAGCTCACTATAAATCTTAGTTAATTGCTGCCAGATTACCCCAATTACCAATAGTTCAGTTTGTTACAAGAATCGAATTTCATTTGAGATTTATTCTCTCCTGTGTTCTGATCTATTTTACTAAAATTTAACTCAGTTACCAAGCAGAGGCTTTCGGTCACAGTGTATTTGTATCTGATTCACTCGTGTTCTGTCGATTCCCTCTCATATGCTCTTTGAAAATGTATGTGTACGCTTCTGTATCAGGTTCTGCACTGACGTTTACTCGTTTCATTTACGGTTTATTCTTTTCTTTCTGAAACTGTTGTCTGGATGAGTAACTAATCACTTTTATGCATCTCCAAATGATTTTTTAATTACACATCTTTTTCAAACTTCCAACGATTAAAGCTTTTCTAGGGGATATTTTTGATGGGGTCTAGCAGCGAAATCTTGGGCTTAGAAATCATCAGCTGAGTCAGTCAGTCAGCTACAACGTAGGACCAGGAACACATATGCATCGGTCCAAGTTGCCAGCAAGATGAACACCGGATTCACAGGAGTAGTTAAGTCAGTGGTGGTAATATAATAAAGAAAGATTGCATATAAGGATATAGTACAGGAAGAAAGAATTAGTTCGTAGAAAAAAAGATATGGAGCGATTTTAATCTCTTAGTTTACGGGAAGATAGAAAATGTCTACACCTACGCCATTGTGATCGGTTCTGAGCAATGTCACCAAGAGTTCCCAACTATTGGTTACGATAGTCACACGGACCCCAACCAGGTTGTTTATTGTATCTTCAAAAATGTAACTAACTCATCTCTTAGCTCTTCCTCCACTATAACGGTTTGAGAATTATACATATTCAATATATATTCGGGATATAGTTGCTTGGTATTACTAGATACTGTGTAAATTCTGGTTATATTCTTTAGCCACGTCGAAAGATAACAGCAACATCTAAATTCCACAACGTGTCTTTCCTAGTTCCACCTATTCTAAAAACTGATCGTGCAAGAAGTACTAATGAGTTGGGACTAACTCAGATTGATTTAAATGAACATCATGAGTATAAATACATTTACAACGTCTTAAAAATAGGTTGAAAAGAACCACAAAATAATAAGGAATTAGCGTCTTTTGTCGGGGTAAAAATAGAGGATGGCTGTCGTGAGAAGATTCGGATTTTTCACCTATTTTAGATCGTCGTTCACTTCATACACTCAGTGAAGAAGAAATAAGTTACTATAGTCTATTTCTTACACAGTTATCACTCAACCGCATCAAACCCTCTACGCTATCAGTAGGACATTATTTTGACTGGCGAAGCGTACCTATTCTTGTTATTATAACACTCAAAGCAGTATTCATGAAGTTCTCATTCTCGTCCTGTCCTTAAGGTAGATTACTTCACATAGTAATCATAATACTTCATTTTTTTAGACTGAGTGACGTGATAATTTGTATCAGCACACAATTGTGTATTTAGTATAAATCCTCTCATAAAGATAAATTGTAAAAACCAATTATTTAGAATAAAATTATCTTCGACAATTCCATTTCTCAGTATGGGGTTGTGGAGATTATTAGGTTTTTGATTGAGATCATGAATCAATTGATGTTAGACCATTGGAAACCTAAAAGCTCACTATTGACTAGCTTCGTGAGGGGATTCTCGGAGTTCTAGTGAGAAGCCGTGACCAGTGGAGCTAATGCGTGTGCGGTAGGCAGGTGTCTACCTCAGTACATTGAAAGATGGTCGCGCAATTTCGTGGATTGATTGAGGTTAGACATTAACACCGTTGGATACTCGCTAAAGTGGTCTAGAGGTAAAGCGTTCACGCGCGAGACCGAAGGTCATGTATTTGAATCCCGCGAGCAGGATCGTGGATACGCACTGCTGAGGAGTACCACAGCAGGATGAAACGGCTGTCCAGGGTTTTCAGGTTTTCAACGGTCGTCTAACATCAATCAGTTCATGATCTCAATCAAAATTCCATTTCTCTGTGTCAGTGTAGTGAGGAAAAACTTGGTTAGAGCAAACAGATTTATTGTTTCTAGCAAAATCACATTTCATTTGTAAAATATATAAACAATACATTGAATACACTATTTCCCCATCTTCTTTGAACTGTTTCTTAGATACTCAATCGTTTTTCCATTCCTGTTTCTTCTCGGATTACTGTTTTTTTCTTTTCCTCATGTTCCTCTTCAGTCAGTAAAAATCCTACTACCATACATACTTCTTATATGTATCCGTATAAGTAGCACACACCACGATAGCTCTTTGAGCGCAGGAGTGAAGAGACATCCTCACTTTTCTGCATAATATCAAAATCTATACTTTCTACTTCGTGTTTGTTAACTGGTAACTTATAAGTAGGTGGATAAATGTAAATGGATAACTTCGGAAGCTATTCTCCTGTAAATCAGTTTATTTACTTTTTATATGTATTCACTTTAATAATTGATTCTTGATATGTTTTAGTTGTTCTGTAATTGAAAGTTTCCATTCGACTAATTTCCTGTTACTATATCTCTTCTACCATTCACAACTTACTATTTATTAATAATAAACATGTTATTAAGATTTTGCATGATATTTCATATCGATTCATTAATTTCATTGTTATAATAATATTGACTTTATTCAAGATTATGTGTTTAGTATAATATTGAGTTCTCAGTACATAGCTGTTTTCAACAATCGACCACTGGCAACACGGAATAATCCTAATAGGCACCAGTTTCTAATTCAAATAAGTTTTAATAAAGTGTTTAGTGTATTGTATTTGCCACCTATTAATTTTACCATTCTAGATAAAACATATTGCATATTATTTTCATTTCTAATGCATAGTGTTATGCAGAAGTCTAGTAATCCTGTATACTTGTGGTCGGAAGATCCTGATCATGAAGTTTCCAAACCCGATTCATTGTCTTCTGTTCCTCGTAAGTGACAGTAGATTGGTTTGCTCCAGTATTTTACAAGCTTAGTATCTCTGTTTAATCACAACTAATTTGTGTTTTGAAATGTTAGCGTAGTTTTTTTTAACAAACCTCTACAGTTTTGTTTATCTGCATACTCATCCTTCATTTTGTGGGTCACTGATTCCAGCTCCTTTTCATTAACATTAGTCTTAACATTCGCTTTTTCCCCGTATCCATCACAGATGTTTTGCTAGAAACGCATTACACAAATCTATTTTTAAAAAATAGCCATATCCTTCACGGTATCCGCTAGTTTGATAGACGGAGTGTCAGCTTAACTTTATCTGTGATTTGAATGAAGCAGGCAATCGGATGCATACTACATGCACTGTTTTCAACTCAATGAATGCACCTACTCTACTATCTGAATAAAACACTACTGTAGAGATAAGATTTTCTTCCTACCTGATAATGGACTAAGTGGTAAGTGACTTTCTGTCTTTTTTTACAACTCAGAATCTCGAATTGTTGCTGAATTGTCCTCATCGGTATGATGACGGAATATTAAAGATGCCACCTTTGTTTATTCAGATCTAAACAATATATGCTATGAACATCGATATGATTATTTCTTTAGTTTACATTTTAATAAATAACTAAAGCAGATATTGTATACTCAATTTTAAGGAGCCTCAAAAACTAGATCCAATTTTATATTCATCAACTGTCACGACTAATTACAAACACTCAACTTGATTGGTATTTCGAATAGTTTATCCAAATGGAACACAATAAAGTTGCTTATTTCAACTGAGACTACAGTAATCATCAAACATTCAGCAATCTTATACGACAAATTAAAACTTTACATTAGTTGCTGTTGTCAGCTTTTTATAAGTTTTAGGTGTAACTGCATCTGAATGTCTGGTTGAGTCACCATTCTATTTAGAGAATAAGAATGAAACTAAGTTATTTTAAAGATATCTGAACCGACGAGATGTTATGCCCATAGTGACTCAGTATTCTCAAGTATACCACAGAACGTTCAAAGTTCTTTTTGGTGAAGATCTGTAGGCGAACGACGCGACAAAGGAGCTTTAACCAACTCATTAGTACCGTTGAATGGTCCGTTTCATGGATCCAGTAATAATACACAAAAAAAGTACGGGCAAGTAACACCACACATTAAAGTGATTGTGAAATATCGTAGAAAAAGATTAATGCTTGACTACGTACATGGAATGGTACACATAGTTTAAATTCACATATTTAAATATGTTAAACTTTCGTAAAAATCTGGAATTGTAAGTAACATCCATATCTACATGAAATTATTAGGTCGTTTTATTGATGTACACGATTTCAATATTTGCCATTACATATACGAGTCACTCTTTCATCAATGTATATCTACTAAGTCACTTATTCATGTTGCATAAAATACATCAGTCAGTAATAATAACAAAATGTTGCGTTCAATTTTCCTTTATCTAATTCACTTCATTCAGAAACTGAGTTGTCGCTGAATATTTAATAATTTTTACTGTTCCATTCACTGATTAATAATTTATATTCATAAATTCAAATATATTTTTACATTTACCATCTTCTTTGTCTTTCTTTTCACAGTCGATACATCAACTCATTGAATTTTATTGCGACTAGAAAAATCACACATGTATTCGTGAAATATAAAAGTTTGTGAAACTTTTTAATTCAAATGCTTCCATGCTTCTACCTAACTAAATTGATCCATCTTACTGTGTATTATTCTAAGCTTTCCAAGTGATTAAATAACAAACATTGATTCCACTAAGTAGTTTTTGCTCTGTACTTTCTCTCTTTCTCATCCCATCCCCGTCTATCACTACATATATACATAAACATGAAATTTTATTCCACTTTTTATTTTAAAAAAGAAAATTAGTAAGAAGGACTCATTTGCACATTTTTTATCGCAGTTCCCTATTTAACATGTACATTGAGAGCTGAAGACTGTGCACACCGTGTGTATTGATTCAATTTATTTGTTATTATTTAGTTATGATGACAATAATAATAAAATACCTCTTCGAGTCTTTTTTTCATCGCTATTCTAGTTGTTAATTCTGGTTGATTATGTAATACCAATCAATCAACTAATCAGTCATAAAATTGTACAACTTATTTATATAGTTTTATGATTAATCCTATGATTCGTTTTCTCCTTGCCCATCAAAGTTTTATCTCCTTGTTATTGCTTCTGTTTATTTGATGGTATACCAAGTAATCCTGTAATTTTGTAAGCTATACTTCGTGTATCCTCCCCTTCCTCAATACTGAAACAACCTACTACTGTCTTCCTCATATATCCTTTCTTTCCCGGTACACGCGGATGAGTGCCATAATGCTTCCTTATAAACAGGTGAAGATTTCTTGTTTTCATGTGTCATATCCACGGTCCCCAGTACATAAACCTCTTGCTAGTTTTTTTGCACAGTTTTACTGTTGTTCATTCACTGATGCTTTATCCGATATTTATGCGTGTGCCTGTACGCTTGTCCGCATTTTATATACATGTAGGCTATGTGAAAGGAGCAGAATTGTTTAACTTTTGTTTATCATATATCTCAGTTGGTCATTTCATTTATGATAATGATAGTAATTATTATTATTGTTTTTATTATTATTAAACGTTTGGTTAATTTTATCTCATTCTCTTCTCTTCATTTTCTCTATTCACATAGCTCTGTTTTAACTCTTATCCGTCATTGTCTATAATTTATTTATAATGAAAGAAATAAAGATTCATTAGTGATGAAAATAACTATCTTTTTATATTATGCTTGTTGACCAGTACTTTGGCTTATCCTCCTTATCGTGTATAAAATGTTATAAACGAATTGAAGCACATAATTTACAAACTGTTAAGTTGTGCGCTACTTCCATTATGTACGTGTTGCCTTTGTTGTATCCACGGTCCTATTGCATATACTTAGAAACGGGAATCACTGCAATTCACACTACGCAAAATGAATACTGTTTTGATTTTAATTTGGTGATGTCTATCATAAGGTCAAATTTTTAGGATATAAGCTCCTAGGGAGTTTTAAATTTATGCTAATATTGTCACAAGGGTGTGTTGTTAAGTAATTTAAAAATTTAGTAATTAAGAAAATGGGTCATTCAGGGAAAAACAAAAGAATTAAAACAATTTTTACTCAGAATATTCTGATTTTATTTCCCAGATAACAAATAGTCTACTCTTGACTTAAACTATTCCATTACACGTAGTGATTTAATACGTGCAATTAAATCAGCGAACCTAGCACCCAGATTTAAATCACACGTGAATTATGACAATCTATTGAAAAAATGAAATTCGAACACACGCCTATCTTACTTCCGTTAAAAAAACCTAATGAAAATACACAACACTTATTGTTCAAACGTTTACCTATTTACGCTAAATATCCATATCGGCAATAATGCATAAATCACAACTGTATATTTCGTCTTTTATTATATAGAAAAATGTTTCCGAGAACATTTATACATTGTGTTAACTTAATCGTACAGAAAATTTAATTCTATTAAAAATATTTCATATCTGATTAATTTGTATCAATGTAACAATTGAAGAAATTAGAAATAATAGTTTTCTAATATTTGTGTGTGTATGAGCATAAATTAGTTATTTAAACAAAACGTGTTATCTCATTATCTTTGACATAAATTGTTCCGTTTTAAATTAATGGGGACGAAACAGACACGTACTTATAGGCATTCACATACAAATGAGAAATGATGACCAGTAGTTGAAGTGAAGCGTAGATAATAAAAAAGACCACCCAAATTTGAAGCAATTAGAAATAACCGTTCCTGTACATGGAGAACAACAGAAATTATTTAATATGTTAGGAGGGTAGCTAGCAGTAGAATTTAAGACACATTTCATCCTATTCTGCACTCAATAGATAGATATATCTGGATTTCGGAGTTGATGTTCACATTTAGACTTAGTGAATCACATTTCGGTATATCAAGTAGTAGATACTAGGTTCGAGTCTCAGTGTAGGCATCAACACTAGGATACAGATATATATAACCGACGACTCCCAAATAGGATAGAAAGTACATCTTGGATTCCACTGTTAGCCATAAAGCGATTTACTAAGACACGTAATAAATGGGGTGTGTTGAGACAATCACTCACGATGTACAAAGATGGACTAAAATATGAATAATTTATAATTACATTTGAAATCTAGGTGGAACCTTCACTGGTTCACAAGTTGATTCTAGTTTCTGGCGGAAAGTGAATATGAATTGTATAATTTCTCTAATAATAATCATGTGAATTCCTGATTTTTCAGTACGAGACTGCCATAAGTGGTATGTTGAGATTGAGACTGATATAATCTAATGTATGACAATAAAGATGCGCTATAGAACTTCGAATCACTGAATTTTTATTAAATAGTATTCTTTCAGTGAGAATCGAAGGCTCTATGTTCGTGAGTGATATTTTTAGTCTTCAGATCATTATTCGACTGGCATCATCAATTCATAACTAAAGTTGCCTTGAAAATGCTTTCCCAGTATAAAGACATCACCTTTCCATTAGTATAAATGTGATGGCATGAAGTATAAGCTATTTAAATGCTATAAGGAGGTGAATTCTCATGATCTGGTTACATCCGCTGTAATTTGAACAACTAAATAAAGTTTTGTGACTTGAAAATGATAAAAGCAGAATTTTTACTTAGTTTGAACTACACGTTATTTCATAAGCCAATATCCATTGACATTTCGTGTTCTTAAGTCACAGTTAATCAGCCGATCGATGTATGACTCAGCATCTTGATTATTTATACGTGTTGTGACCAGCTATTTTTAGCATGTGTTTTCCTGTTATTTTATATCCATCGTCATACGTTCTGTGATCCTCAAACGCAGGTATTTTTGATAGACTGTAAGCGAATATTTTCGTACTACTATCGATTGCTTGATTGCATCGTTTTATTCTTATGATGCTCGTTGCTAATAGGAGTAGGTAGAGTTCAAAATACGTCTCATTAGTCTAGATAGATTTGTATTATAGATGATGTTAGTTGCTGGAGAAAACCCAATAGAGTTATAACTAACAACACTAGCCCAACTTCTAAAACGTAAATTTAATCTTTTTCCTATACGGTAACCAGGACTTAGATATGATAGGAATTGTTTGTCATATTAAGAGCAGTATTTCACTGTAATTTTATTGCTTTCTAACTGTTTTACAACTAGGCCGTGTTTTCCGACTGGTTTCTCAAGGTAGTCAGCATACCAGCTGTATTATAAAGATAGTTCACTTTATAGTTCATGTAATTTTTAATTCCATTTCAATAGCCTGGCAACATGTGGGGTATTCATAGTCAACAGCGTTACTCAAAGAATGATAATACATAATAAAATTTCCTGATTAATTTGAAATGATCAATAATCCATGTGTGAAACGACATTGGCAAAACATCCAAAGATGTGTTTAGAAATCGACGGTTGATTACGGTCAGTTCAATTTGGTTATAATAGGAGCTAATGAACTAATAGATACAAATAAAGTAGGTAGATCCGGTGGTTCATCATCACAATATATAATCGAAACAGTAAGTGCACAGAAGAACTTATTCTAAGAAATGTGGTATGAAAATCTTTCATAAAACAGGTGACTTTTGAATATACTTTCCTGATTAATTTGCGTTGAGTTGCGGATAGGTTAACAGTATCTCCGCGTTAACAAGATCCCAATCTCATGGTATTCACAATGAATAGTTCTGAAAATTCATTTTCAAACAGAGTTCATTTTAGTTAGACTATCTCAGACAATAATAAAACATTTGTGCAAATGCTGAAACTCTAAACTTCCTATCACAAAACTTATACTCCGAACAGATCCAATCAAAGAGACCATTATAAATTGATTCGAAACTCTTATTATCAAATGATATTACGCAATAATCAAGGGGAAAGAGAAGAATATAAGGATGGAAATAGTTTCCGGGTCAGAATTATATATAGCATACAACCATAAATACGAATATACAGCCCAAGTAAATGGTTTCGTCGAAAAGAATATTCTTGCTGAGTTCTCTCTTTTTATTCAATGACAAAATGGGTTATTTTAACTATCTAATGACCATCATATTCATTTTAAACCATTCTTACTACATATGGCTTCAGTTTTTACTCTCGTATTCACCTATACCAAAAATAGTCAAATTTTGAGCGAAACAAAGATCACGAAAAAAATTAAAAAACGAGTCAACCCAATGATCACTTTTATTGGTCAGTTAGTTGAATCACATTGTATGTACAAATATGTTACTCCCGTTACCGACAATCTACCCAGTGCTCAGTTTTTTTCGAAAACAATAATTTTGAAGTGGCCAGGATAGTGTTAGCTTAAATCAAAACATTAAATCAAATGTTGAAAGTAATGATCAGAATTAATATAGGTAGTTAAATTGAATTCACTACATTCATTCAAATGAGTCAAGAAGTTCAAAGACTGATCAATAAAACTTATTTTCATCATCTTTGTATTTAGATCTGTGTGTGTTGACTGATATATATATACTAGAGAAAGGTTAATACAAAATTTGAGAAACCAAAATAAACAAACATGGATTGAAAATTTAACATTGATATACTTGAATTCAGACATGTTTGTATATACGATTGTTTCAGTTACAACAGTAAAGATTCGCGTATTTGGTCACGTTCGAAATTCATCCATAATTAAACATAAATTTAAATGAAGTACTTGCGATTATAATTTGAAGCATGCAATCACGGATTACATTTCGCTGATAGATGTAATGAAATTGCTATAGCTGGCGATAATATTTTTTTTAAAATTTGCTCAGTTATCGATTCACTAATTATTGATTGGCTAACAAGATCATTAGTTACTTAGATGATTTGTCTCAGAAGTTTGAGAGTATCTTTTTTTAACGATTGTTCAGAATATGATTTAATTTTAGGTGGAATTAAAAAGTATAGAACATATTAATTTTTTAGAATAAGCTGTTTGTAGTAAACAAAATGTTGAACAATATCCTACTGATACTCTGTAAATCCGTCCATTGTTGAATTGCATAACGTTTGATGAGCGCTAAACGCTGGTGTAATCTAGAAGCAAGATAACATGTACCCAATCTGTTATGTGTCGGATGAAAAATTAAACCGTGATTGGTCAATGAACGAACACAGATTTGCTATCCTCATTGTAATACATACCGGTGCTCTTTTGCACTAAATCGTAATATACATTTTTTCTGTCCATATCTTTTTCTTGATCGATGCTAATGCAACAATTGATTGCGCAACACTGACGTTTTAAAAGAACCACAACCAGTGGTTAAGGCGTACGACTAATTGGAATAAAAGTTTTATTACAGACTGTAATAAGGTATGAAATCAATAGAAACCAAGATACACAGGACAGCTGCTCACAGCTCTTCTACAGCGTACAACTATCCCTACACGTAGAATATGTGAAATGAAACGTTCACATTGGATGGACTTATTACAACTGTACAAGGTGATATACGTATGTACTCAGAGGTGGAATATTTATTAATGATTACAACTTTATCTATGAAAAAAAAACACAAGTAAACCCGATGAATTTATAAAATGTGTTCAGTTTACATCTGTATATCCTATATTCGGTTTATGTAAATTTTAATCAGCCCCTAATATCACATAATTTACGGCCTTTCACTTTCAATTCAAGTCTATACATTTATAAATTGTAGCGAATGCAGAACTGTAATCAAT